TTTTTTCTAATGGGGCTCGATGCAGTGGCTCACACCTGTAATTTCAGCATGCTGGGAAGCTGAGCTGGGAGAATCATTGGAGGATAGAAGTTCCAGACTAGCCTGGGTGACATAGTGAGACCCTGTCTCTAAAAAAAACTGAGAAGTTAGCCAGGCATGGTGGCACGTGCCTGTATTCCCAGCTACTCGGGAGACAGAGGCAGGATTACTTAAGCCCAGAAGTGCAAGGCTGAGGTGAGCTATGACTGCACCACTGCACACCAGCCTGGGTGACAGAGAGAAACCCTGTCTCTAAAAAATAAAAAGAACACACACCCCTAAGAGTCTAGGGTTTAGACACACCAAAACCATAATATTACAGGAAATATGGCTGTTAAGCAAGTGAGATACCTAACATTATTCTTGCCTATTTTTCTCTTCTCCCTTAAGTACTCTAAGAATCTGGAAATGGGCTGGGCCGCGGTGGCTCACGCCTGTAGATCGTCAGCACTTTGGCGAGCCAAGGTGCGGCGGATCACGAGGTCAGGAATCGAGACCGATCCTGGCTAACATGTGACACCCCGTCCCTCTACCTAAAATACAAAAAATAGCCGGCTTCGTAGCAAGTGGCGCCTGTAGTCCCCAGCACCTCCTGAGCTGAGGCAGGAGAATGGCTTGAACCCAGGTGGTGGCGGTTGCAGTGAGCTGAGATTGCACCAGTGCACTCCAGCCTGGGTGACAGAGAGAGACTCCGTCTCAAAAAAAAAATAAATTCTGAAATGGAAAACGAAAAATGTTGGGGAGATACCAGCCTCATGCCTACTAATTTCTCATTTAATCCTCACAACTGTTAGGTTGGATATTATTTACTTCAATTTATAGATGAGAAAATGGAAACAGAGAGGGTAACTCACTCAAGGCCACACAGCAAGTAAGTAGAAGAGTTGAAACTGAATCCAGATCATCTAAGTTCAGGTTCTTTTCACTACACCAACAGTTCTCAAAGTGTGGTCTGCAAACCTTAACTCCCAGGGATTCAAAACTATTGTCATAGGCTGGGCGCAGTGGCTCATGCCTGTAATCCTAGCATTTGGAGGCTCAGGCAGGAGGATGGCTTGAAGTTAAGAGTTGGGAGGCCAGCCTGAGCAACATAGTAAGACCCCATTTCTACAAAAAATAATTTTAAAAAAATTATCTGGGCATGGTGGCATGCACCTGTAGTCCCAGCTACTAAGGAGGCTGAGATAGGAGGATCTCTTGAGCCCAGGAGTTTAAGGCTGTAGTGAGCTATAACTGCACCACTGCACTTCAGCCTGGATGACAGAGCAAGAACAGAGACAGACTGCAAAAAAGAAAAAAGAAAAAACAACAACAAAACAACAAAAAAAACTCAAACCCAAAAACTTTTCCTAAAATTACTGAGACACCATATGCCTTTTTACCATGTTGACAATTGCACTGATGGTGCAAAATCAATAGAGGGTGAAGCTGTTGGTGGCTTAGCAGGAATCAAAGTTGTACCAAATTTCATTAACACTGTATTTGTCACTGCTGCAGACTTGCAATAGACACTGCCAGTTTCACTTAAGAATGTCCTTGACGAAGCAGTAAATTTTAATAATTTTATGAAATCTCAACCCTCGAGTACACATCTTTTTAATATTTTGTGTGGAAAAAAGTTAAGTATGCATGAAGCAACCCTGCCGCATACCACAGTACCATGGTTGTGGCTGAAGGAAAAGTAGTAGCTACTTTTTTTTTTTTTGAGATGGAGTCTCATTCTGACGCCAGACTGGAGTGTAGTGGCGTGATCTTGGCTCACTGCAACCTCCACCTCCTGAGTTCAAGCGATTCCCCTGCCTCAGCCTCCTGAGTAGCTGTGACTACAGGCACGTGCCACCATGCTCGGTTAATTTTGTATTTTAGTAGAGATGGGATTTCACCATGTTGGCCAGGATGGTCTCGATCGCCTGACCTCGTGATCCGCCCACCTTGGCCTCCCAAAGTCCTGGGATTACAGACATGAGCCACCACTCCCGACCTCTTTTTTTTTTTTTTTTAATGGAAGACCATTTTAACATGAAAGAATGACTGGTAAGCAATTGCCATTCAGACTTGAATATTTGGCAATTATCTTCTCACTCAAAAATGAAAAAAAGTGAGCCTGTCATTTCAAGGAAAACTGTATTTGTTGCCAATGATAAAATTCAAGATTCCAAGGAAAAATTAGAATTTTGTGAAATTTGCATTTGCCATGAGACTTTTCTGATGAGATCAGTTGTGATATTAACAAATGTGACTTTTTGATATTATTATATAAAGAAATGTGTCAATATTTGGAAGAACTCCATAATTCGGCAAACCAGTATTTTCCAAATGACCAATACAGGATATTACAAAATCATGCATAGGTAAAAGATACCACTCCTCACATAAAGTGTAAAATGGATCAGTGGATTTTTTAGTTTAACAGAGTACAAAAACTTCCTTGATATGATTTCAGATTCCACACTGCAGCTATCTTTGAAGGAACTATCACTTGCCAAGTTTTGTAGTAGTATCAGAGAAGAATATCCATAATTATCTGAAAAGGTTATTCAAATATTTCTCCATTTAAAAAATATGTATCCATGTGAAGCTGGATTTTCTTTATATACTTCAACATATCACCACAGGGCTGGACACAGTGGCTCACCTGAGGTCAGGAGTTCCAGAAAAGCCTGGCCGACGTGGCGAAACCCCGTTTCATGCTGAGGCAGGATAATCGCTTGAACCCAGGTGCTGGCGGTTGCAGTGAGCTGAGATTGCACCAGTGCACTCCAGCCTGGGTGACAGAGCGAGACTCCGTCTCAAAAAAAAAAACAAACAAACATGAAAGACTGTGTGCAGATGCATACATGAGAATCCAGCTGTCTTCCATTATGCCAGTCATTAAAGAGATTTCAAAAACTACATAAACCTCAATTTTTTAATTGTGGAAAATAGTGATTTTTCATAAAAATGTGATTTATGTTCACATGTAATTTGGTTTACTATTTTTAAATAAATTCATTTTTCTCATCTATCATATTTTCTTTTAAATTTCTAATATAGTAACTATTGATAGATATAATCCACATGAATACAAGCTTCTCCATAAAGTCTTTCATAATTTTTAAGAGTGTCAAGTGGTCCTGGCCAGGTGTGGTGGCTCATACTTATAATCCCACCACTTTGGGAAGGTGAGGCTTGCTTGAGTCCAGGAGTTTGAGACCAGCCTGGGCAACATGGAGAAATGTCATCTCTACAAAAAAATAAAAAATAAATTAGCCAGGCCTGGCGGTGCACACCTTTGGTCCCAGATATTTGGGAGGCTGAAAAGGGAGGGTCACTTGAGTCCAGGAGGTCAAGGCTGCATGAGCCATGTTAGTGCCACTGCACTCCAGCCTGGGTGACAGAGCAAGACCCTGTCTCAAACAACAACAACACAAAAAAACCAGATATATATTTTTAAAAAGTGGTCATGAGATCAAAAAGATTGAAAAGTGCTGCATTATGTCATGCTATTTGCCTTTAATATTTAAAATAATGATAGTAGAAAAAAATGTCTTTGTACAGATGCCTCCCTAAAAGTTTCTAAAAGATTACCAAAATGTATCGTAATGTGTTTTTGATTAGCATGTGTTCAGGCAGCCACAACCCTCTGATCACATGTACAAAGAAAAAGATCCCTTAAAATAAAATGGCTTAAATTACAGGTTGGTCCAAAAGCACTCTCATCAATTGAGGGGGAAAATCTAGAAAGAGAGCTCTACATACCTTAAATGATTTCAAACCAAGGCCTCTGCTGATGCTTAGGGAAGGATGATGTCTCACTAGTAAAAATAAGTGGCAAAACAAACATATTCCCTGACAGCTAAAGTTGAAGAAGTGTTTCCAATTAGTAACAAGAATTATCCTCGACATTACAGAGAAAATGGGAAACACCTACATTCAGCTACTTATCTGTCATGTTTTATGACATTTGTCATAAAACATCAAGAAGATAACAAGTTCAATTAAAAGGCAATTTTTAATCAGGATAGATCCTCTTATATTTGAAGTTGGTATTAAACCTTTGGTAAACCAGTCATTTAGCTTGAAAGAGGGCAGTAAAAAATAGAAGTAGCTGCTCACATGCAAATACAGAGTTTTATCATCTCCATTCCCAGGAGATGGCTATCAAAGAGCAAGTGGGATGCTATGGGTATCTCTTTGTTGCACCTGATATATATATAGAGAGTTTGTAAACAAAGCCAGGAGTAGAAACAGGTTAATTTCTGCAAAGTACACTTGAATAGTCTTAATTTTTAAAATGTTTAACTAAAAGATGGTATAAACGACTAAGCATTTTATTATGCTTATTAGCTCCATCAGCCAAATGTGCCCCTGAATGACTGAAAACTAAGATATCCCAAGAATAAGTCAAATTAACAAGTATATTTCAAAACCAAAATACAGAAAGTGCCCAAAGCAAGCAAGCCTTCTGAGCTAAAATGATGTTGGTAAAAGCACAGAAATGTTGGTATGTGAAGAAGCCCAGCACTGGGGACAGGAATAAGAGAGACATATGTTTCAATTAGGGTAGGATTAAAACCAAAGTTATCTTCAAGTGAGTCATAAAAGCTGGCCTATTAACCTCACTGAACTTTATAGTTAAAATAGCAAATTTTGTTATATATATTTCACCACAATTAAAAATCAATAATGTAATATACCAAAACCCATCTGATTATACACTTTAAATGGATGAATTATATGATATGTGAATATCTCAATAAAGCTGTTAAAAAAACAACAAACCTGCCCCATATGCTAGGGCAAGCCCACCTGCCAGCACTGTCATGAAGGTTTAGCTGTGTTGCTAGCGATGCTCCAATAAGCAGGAAGATGTCTGACAGTCACTGACAGTAAAATTAATTACAGGCTCCTCGACTCCTCAACTTTTCTAATACAACTTGGACAAGACAAATCAACCAGAATACAAATAAAAAGTCACATACTTGGTTCCTTTAAGCTTATTTAATATTTGAACTCTTATTTTCTATTTTCCCAGACCCCAGAAAACAGAAAGTTTTTAGATGACCAATATTTTGTTCCAGAAACATACAGCCTTATCAGCTAATTCATAAAAGAGCTATTTTACAAAGGTACATCTGGATAATTAGAACAATAAAGTCTTTTAGGCATTTCAAAATGTGATCAGTAAAAATACATGATTATTAATAAAGTTTTTTTAAAGATAGTTCCAGGTATTTTTTAAAAGCAATTTCTGTTAAAGAGTACATGATTGTATGGTGAACAAGGAAAATAAAATGTTCTAGTAGGAAGAGGCTTATTAAAAATAACCAACAGTGTGCATATTACAGTTACCATTTTTGGAGTATATCTGCTTAGCAGTTGGCACCTGGAAATGGCGGGGAAGGCTTCCTTCTAGGAGGAACTTTTTTTCCTACCAATTTATTATCAAAACCCTCAATACCAGTGGGAAAGGCATAAGGAACAAGGCAAAAGGAACTCTTGAGGAAAGAAAAATTTTGCAGATGACTGAAAAGTGGTGGAAATGTCAGGGAAAAAATGATTTATAAAACAAAAATTGTAATATAAGGGGGAAAAACTAGCCATTAGGAAGCTGACTGTAAGGTCCTGCTAATTTTGTATTTTGAGGTCCTATGCACACAGTTCTCAATGGTGCCCTCTGTGACATACAGGGAAGGAAATACTGACCAAAGCTCTAGTAACTCAAAACCATACATTGACTTCAGAGAAGAAAGCTTCCACTTTGAAATATGGAAGCCCCAATGTATTACACCAAATTTACTAACATCAAAGAGGAAAAAAAGATGCCAGTAAAAGACAATTCACAGGAAGCATAATTGCTTTCCTTAGCTTCTAAAAATAATTTTTAAACGGACTTCTCTATTACCACAGTAGATCCTCTCTCCTACCCCAAAACCAAATAACAACAAAAACTTTTTAAAAAGGGGATTCATCCTTCCTAACAGTCATTAGAAGTTGCTGTGGGAAAAAAGAAAGCCAAAAAGCTTATGAAATATACCTCCCATGCAATATAATATAATATAATACATAGTTACAATTTCAGTTCTAAAAGTCAATATAATTCAAGCAGTCCAAGTTAGGTGATTTTAAAGTATGCAAAATATATAGCTTAGAAGGTAGTAATCACGACGTTAAATTACAGCACTTTGGGGGCTCGCTGATTTGCCTTGATTAACTGTTCTCTGAAAAGGAAGGAGACACTCTACATGCAATTTGCCACTTCACAGCGAAGGAGCCATTAAGCCCACAGAAGACAGCACAGTGTCACAGCAGGTCACTTCCATAGCTAAAATGCAGCCTGCTTGCTCTGGGAAGGTAGCTTTCTTGGTACACCACCCTTGTGCCCTTTAGCAGGGAAGTAGATTTCAACTTCTAGTCACGTCCCTTAGAGAAAACTCCTTTGATGGTGACCAGTCTCACTCAAAGACAGGCTGCATATCTAATTCCATCATCCTGAAGGGAAGATGTCATAACCAAAGCCAAATGGATGTGATTATAATGACCAAAATGAAATGGAAGGCGTGGGAGGCCAAGTTGGGAGGGAGAAGAGAAGTTAGGTTGATAAGATAAAAAGAACATTCAAAAATTATGAGATATTTTCAGAATTAGACTTCATCTTGGGGCTTTGTTTGAAAATCTAGATATGAATTTATTTGAAAGTACTAGAGCTATGGTCAAAGTATTTTTCCAGTTAGTCCTGTTAAGAGTTCCAAGGAGAAACTGAACTGCAGGGAAAGCAAATAATTACTAAGGACAAGATACTGGCTGAACTAGAGAAACTGAAACTTTGCTAACCTACAAGCTTCTTAATTGAGTGCTAGAGAATTACATAATTACCCTGTAGTGTGTGAAGTTAAGAGGAAAGTTTTTATATTTACTTTTTTCCTGATTAATTGCCCCCCGATGGTGTTAGTGTCAAGTGGCTACAGGTGTAACCCTTTTAATTGAGAATGACATTATTTCTAGCAGCACAATGTAACCATTTGGTTTTTACTTGTTCCTCCTAAGAGATACAGAAAGTTCCAAATCCCAAGCTTCATTTATATATTAGCTTCTGCTTCTAAAATTTTTAATCCCATTCTGAGTTAAATTATACTTGGCTTATGACTAAAAATATAATTCCAATTTATAGATGAGGTCTAAAGATCCAAGTTGATCTACCTAAAAACACAGATCAGTTTAGGACAGAAACAGAAATCTGGACATAGATAAATAAACTTGCTAAGTTATAGTGGTGTTTATAAAAGTAGGTGGGCATCCCTTACCATTTGTGGTGAAAAAATAATCTTTGGGCTGCAGGGAAGCATTAAAATTACATCCTGGCAACCCACAGAGTTCAGAGGGCACCAATGAAAGATGTGAGCAATGGATGAACTCCTTGTTTATTAACAGAATTTACAGACTTCATTTTAGTTGGCAAAAATACTTCAAAACATATATACCTAATGCACAAGGAAAACCAAAGAAAGTCAATATGATTGAAGGAGTTCTCAAATTACGATTCTGAAACATCCTCTGTAGGGTGCTGCTAATGCTACTGTTCATCCTAGAGCAGGCAGTTACCAACACCTTGCCTGCAGTGTCCAGTGTATGTGATGGTCTGCAATTTTTAAGGTCAATCATGGCCCAGTGTGGAAAGAGCTGTAGCAGTGAAGTCAGAGGAAGTGCTTCTGGAGCTGGTGCGAGCAGTTCTGCCTTCACCATATCTTTCTCCACTCCACCCTTGGCTCTCCTTTTGACTCAGGGCCCTTTGGCACCATCAGTGCAAAAATTAGAGTCAAACCTCCAGGTACTAAAATTTTACTGGCCTTATAATCAGCAGTACCCGTGGCTAATGATAGCCATGATTCAACTCAGTAGTGATTCAGTTAGATAACCTTCCCAAACTCTTTACCCACTCCCATCCCACCCCTTCCTTAGCAACTCCCACCCCTGCCACTATCCGAAGCATTTCCATGTTTTTACTTCCTGCTCAATCTGCAGGGACAGTTTTACACAAGTGCCAATGTCTAATGTATAATTATAAAAATGAAATGATACCAAGAATAACAAATTTATAGTCAAGAAAATAAAATTTGCTTTCCTCTCCCACCCAAATCCCAACTCTCAATAGAAAAGACGACAATGGAAGAAAACACACCCATTTTCAAGTGCCTGCTATTTAGTACATTGAGGATTCCTGTTAATTGTGGTTGATCCCAGCTACAGAGAAGAGGTGCTTGCCTCAGGGTGGGAGGAAGCCCATCCACTCTCTGACCACACCACCCGGGCACGTAAGAGCCACAGGGCATAGCACACCTTTGAGGTGACCCTCAGAGAAGCAGCCTACCGGACAGCAGGGAGCTTGGAATACAGTTTAGTGAAGCAAGGTGCTTCTCCCTTCCCCTTCTCACTTCCTTCTCTTCTTCACCTCTCTACCCAACTTGCGCATACCCCATCCTGAACTCTTTGCTTCAGGAGCAGTCGATCCTTGGGTGTACTAAAGACAAAGGGCTAAAACTCTCACTACTCAATTAAAACAAAACAAGGCAAATAAAAATTAAAATGTGCTTTCAAATACGGAATGAAGTCAAATAAATACATCTGATTTTCTCTTTTTCTTAAATCTAAGTACAATTTCATATCCTACACCCAAAGCTCTATACATTTGGTTTTTATTCTGAATCAAAATGAATTTCCGATAGTGAGGAGAGTAGAGTGAGGGAATGGATGTTCCCTCACTAACAGATTAGTGCAGCTGCCACGCTGTGAAGAACTAGTCCCACTCTGGGCACCTTGGGACATGGCTAATCCCAGGTGGTTCACAGGCAGATCCTCTGTCACACTCTCTCTGCATCCACACTGGAGCCAGGATGTGGTGAGACATGGCCGATACTCCAAATCCAACAACCTGCAGTCACCTCCAGGACATGTGGCTCTAACTTTTATCTGAGAAGAATGAAGAGACATGGAAGTGATATTAAGAAAAAGAATATATTAACATTGCAAAGAATACCCATGACATCTGTGGGTGTGGTTCAATCTTTGTTTCTGAATCAGCATGTAAGCAGATGAATACAAACTGCTGCATGGAACACAGATCCATCTACAGTCAGGGGAGACACCAGCCACACTGTCAGCAGAGGCAAGTGCACCAACATCAGATGAGGCCAAATCCTCCACACTAGGGAGTCACAGCACCACCAGTAAGCCTCACACGGAATCTGTGATTTACCAGGCTTCCCACCGCTCTGCCTTCTGCTTTGAAAAGGTGAAAAAAGAGAGAAGAGGGGATGGTATGGGAACTAACAACTGCAGTTCCTCTTAGAGAAGAGTAGAGTCAGCAGGCATGAGCTTCCGCTTGATATATGATGTTTAGAAACAGGCAGTTCTTAAAAGACAGAAAAGAAATGGAATCTCAGAAGGTTTTCACTTCAAAGGATGATAAGTCATTTCATTCAGTGAAGGATGATTAGTCTAGAGTGGGGAACCCATAACTTTTACATACCTGAGTGCTTGTCTGTGAGGGCTGATCCAGCCAGCCTTTGGCAAAGAATGGTGTAACTTTCCTCCACCTTCTGTGAAATAAAACCCATAGGTTTTTTTATTCAAACATCATGAAAACAAAACAAAAACTTCTGAAAACAGAAAAGAAGGCCTTTTTACATTACAGGTACAAGCCCCCAAATTTCAAAAATACTAATTTCATCATTAAAAATTTTGTTAGTGGGAAGTAAAAAGTAAATTTCATTCCTTTCAACAATTTCTCCATTGAACGAATAACTTAGTATTTTCCCATGTAAAAAGAAAGTAGAGGTGGTAACCATAAATGCAATTCTCCCACCCCGAAGAGTCACCCTGCACATGGTCCTGTCATCGTGTGCATGAGCTATAGTCATGCAGCACATAAAGACAAGGCAGCCTGCATACATTATGATGGTCCCTTAAGACTATGGGCGGGGCGCGGTGTCTCTCGCCTGTAATCCCAGCACTTTGGGAGGCCGAGGCAGGTGGATCACCGGAGATCAGGAGCTCCAGACCAGCCTGGCCAACATGGTGAAATCCCATCTCTACTACAAATACAAAAATTAGCTGGGGCCAGGCGCGGTGGCTCAGGCCTGTAATCCCAGCACTTTGGGAGGCCAAGGTGGGTGGATCATGAGGTCAGGAGTTCGAGACCAGCCTGGCCAACATAGTGAAACCCCATCTCTACTAAAGATAGAAAAAAATTAGTTGGGCATGGTGGCAAGCATCTGTAATCCCAGCTACTTGGGAGGTTGAGGCAGGAGAATGGCGTGAACCTGACAGGCAGAGGTTGCAGTGAGCCGAGATTGCGCCATTGCACTCCGGCCCGGGTGACAGAGCGAGACTCCATTTAAAAAAAAAAAAAAATTAGCCAGGCATGGTGGTGGCACCTGTAGTCCCAGCTGCTTGGGAGGCTGAGGCAGGAGAATGGCGTGAACCTGGGAGGCAGAGCTTGCAGTAAGCCAAGATCGCGCCACTGCACTCCAACCTGGGTGACAGAGTGAGACTATTTCAAAAAAAAAAAAAAAGAAAAGAAAAAGATAAACAATGCCAACCTCAACTTTTTACCCAGGCCTATTCATGGATAATAGTCAAAGAAAACATACAAATCTAGAACCTGGACAAGTTTATCGACATCAGCATTTTGATCACCCTATTCTTCGCCTCACTAAATGTTTCTTACAACCAAGTCCTATGGATGTGGAAGCATAAGGTACCTTTAAGTGTTCAAGGTCAGCCTCTATCTTATGAATGTACTCCATGATCTGGCTCTGCGAATCTGCACAAGAGGAGGGACTCTGGATCTCAAAACAGGAATCCTCCATAGCTCCCCAGCGCTGCTGGACCAGAAATTCAGGGGTGAATGGTGAAACTGCCCCATCAGAGTGAGTGTTCTGAGGAGAATGTTGCTGCTGGTGGGGGGATTCCATAGCAGGGATGCCTGTCATGGGCTGCAGGGTAAGTGAGGACGCAACCTCCTCATCTGTGGAACTCTCCTGCACTGGGTCATAGCCATCAAGGATCAAATAGTTTCCTATGGATAGAGACAGAATAGTTTGATAAGACCAGTGCTGCCATTAGAAAACAGAAATAGCACAGTGTGCTGACAACTTCAACTTGAAAAGTTATTAAGAGAGGGAAAAGCCATTAATTCCTGAGTTTAGTTTCAGGTACATCAGAATTTCCTCACATCAGATGAAAGCTAAACTCTGCAAACTTTCATGGTAATTTCCAAAAATTTTCATTTCAAAAGTTTAAAGCTGGAAACTACAGTGCCTAAATGATCTTGCCACCACTTCCCCTGCCAAACGCCTCTCTTGCCCCATCTCCTGCCATTGCCTCCCTCACCCAGTGTTCGATCACCACAAAAAGCTTGCTCTTGACGCAAAGCCTCTGCCCCACTCTGCTCTCTGCTGGAACAATCTGCTCCCAGGTACCCACCTGGCTTTATTCCCTCATTTCATTGAGGTCTCTGCTCAAATGCTACCTCATCAGAGGTCCTATTCCCTGATCACCCTGTTTGCCTTCATTACTCTCTGTCCCCTTAGTCTGATTTATGTTTCTTCCTAATACTTCTGAAGTCTATTTATTTGTTTACTTATTTACCATGCTTCTTTCCTCTAGCTTCATGAGAAGAGGGGATTTTTCTGTGTTTTATTCACTGCTATATCTCCCTGCACCTATGATGAGGTCTGGTACAGAGTAGATTCAGTATTTATCAAATGAAGGAATAAATACTGCACTTGTGTGAACACACACACATAAACACACACACACCTCGAAACCAACACAACACCCATTTCAACATACAGGACAGTTAGCAATGATCGAAATCAAAATCAAAGTGTAAGTGTGAAAGATACTTGCCTGAGATGCGTAAATTAACATCCTTCTCTTCCTTGTTAACTGCTCCATCACCTTCTGATGGATTCTCATCACTATGTGCTTCACGGGCATCAAAAAAGTGCTCTCCACTGTCATCAAGACCCCCTTCTGGCTCCATGGTAGGCATCTCTGGGGTCATAATCATGTGGTCCATTACTAAAATGTTACTTGCCTGGCTATCCTGGGGTGCCAGTCCCACTGAATCCCGTGGAGCGGAAGATTCAGTTGAAGTCCGAGGACTGTAACAAGTTGCAATGTCACCAGTTCCAGTTCTAAAGGGCATATGTCCTTCACCAGAATGATAGGCCTTAATATTTTCAGAGTTCTGGATGACACTGTCCGTCTGTGGCCCCTGAGAGGCTGTCCTATATCTTGGGAAATGTTGCCAGTCTTCCTGAGCACTCTTCTCAGTCAAACCGAGCTGCTGCACCAGCAACTGCTTCAACAAACCCACTAAACGATTTAGGAAGGAGGCGGGAAAAAAAAGCATATTCACAACTATAACCTCAGGCTGCAAGAATTAAATTAGCTGAATTATCAATTATCTTTAAAAGTATCTTTTAATGACATATTAAAATGTTAATTAATTTCATACAATCATTTTATTTCATACAATCATTTTCCATTTTATTTTGAAGATGAAATAAAGCACCGTCTTTTAGAGAAGATTTACCGTTAAACTATACTTGAAAAGATCTAAGCATTCTGAATAGGGAGGTACTCCTATTTAGAACTCCTGAATAACCAATATCATGCCTCTATTTTTTCTTCTATATAACTAGAATAATACCCTAAAGGTACTTCTTAAGAATGTTGAAAGACTGTGTTAAGCTGCACAGAAAAAGCTAAAAGTTCTGCTTTTTCCAGATCCAGACACTATATGCATATTATTTCCTCTAATTTCATGAGATACATACATATACTAAAAATAAGAACCAATTTAATTTTGAATAGGCCCAAGTGTATGCTATGAGGTCACCCAGACAATGATAGAGTTACTGGGACAATATTAGTCAAACCATCAGAAATCATTAAGACTGTTAATTCAGGAGAATGTATAAAAAATAATGTAGTTTTAAATAACCAATTCTCTGCTCTCATCACTAGCTTAACGTCTGTTATGTTTCTTTAGGCAACAAGTTCCCCTCAGGTCTCTGATCCTGTTCTTCTGCTCTACAATCACTTCCTGAGAGATGCTAGGAAGTCTCATGGCTCTCATGCTCACATCTCTATCTCTTCCTAACCTCTCTCTAAAGTTTGACTCTTAAAACTCTAACTTCCTGCTAGTTACTCACTCTTTAATGTTTTGTCACTTATTATCTTAATCTTGACATGCTTTAAAACTGAGCCTATAATTCTACCAAATCAAAAAAAATAAAAAAGAAAGTACAATGGAAGGAGGTGGGGGAAGCAGTGGTAGTCCTTTTCTGACTCTTATTTCTGACAAGATTAATGAAATTATCTCTAAATATTCCCTTTCCTTTGACCTCACATCCAAACAGGTCAATTGTTTTAAGCACTTGATGACTTCTCACTTCCTTCTTATTCCTTTTGATAACATTCTAGTCCAAACTCTTTTAGTCTCAGGCCAGACTATTACAATAGTTTATTTAGTAAGTACACCATTCCATACCTGTTTCCATTCAAATCCTTCCACAGCTCTCAGCCAGATTAATCTTGTTTCATACCTTTAGTCATATGCTGGTTTAGAAATTTCAAATGGTTCTCCCCAGCCAGAGAAATTGTTCTCAGCCTTTTTCCCACCTCAGTACAACTGAGAGATACGCTATCCTCCCATTGTAACAGTGATTCTGAACCAGGCTGGAGGGTGGGGAGCTAACAGAGTGGCGTGTGTGTGTGTGTGTGTGTGTCTGTGGCATGGGCCATTGTAGAGGATACTATAATCTCCACAATAAAACCAGAAGAATAAGTGGAGTTTGATAAATCCACATACTTTAAGGATGGCACATCAGTGCCATACTTAATAAGTATCTGTAATAAGTTATGAATAAAACTTACAATTTCTTAGTGCATCCAATGCCCATCGTTCTTCTGAGACAGGCAGGTGTGAATCTGGGATTGTGATTTGATAATCTTCTCCAACTTCCTTTAGTGTCCCATCTGTATGTTGTTCCTTTGCAAACTGTCTCTCAGCCACAAAGAGATCACGTACCTCTGATTTCCCAGAAGTACTCAGTGAATGAGACTGAGGTTTTGATGATATTAAGGTAGCTTCTAATCCCAAATCTCTGTCTGTCCAATGGAATAGAAAAGGTAGACTACAGCTAAACAAAGCTTTTAACTTTTAACATGAAGCATTCAGGCAAGAATCAGAAAAACAACTCCATAAACTACAGAGATCATCTGTTAAGCAAAATACACAGCACATAGAACAGTGTTATACTGACACACAGAAGGCTCAAAAGCAAAGTTTGTTAAACTGAATCTCTGATGCTGGAACCTGCATAAATCAAACAGTATTAAAGTTTCTTTGCATTTTATTTTATTTTATTTCATTTATTTATTTCTTTTTTCTTTTTTTTTTTCTTTTTTGGCATTTTGGTCTTAGTTGCCCAGGCTGTAGTGCAATGGCACGATCTTGGCTCACTGCAACCTTTGCTTCCTGGGTTCAAGCAATTCTCCCTGCCTCAGCCTCCCAAGTAGCTGGGATTACAGGCACCCACTACCATGCCCGGCTAATTTTTGTATTAGAGACAGGGTTTCGTCATGTTGGTCAGGTTGGCCTCTAACTCCTGACCTCAGGTGATCGGCCTATCTTGACCTCCCAAAGTGCTGGGATTACAGGTTTGAGCCACCGCACCTGGCCAGCATTTTAACAGATAATAGAGCACATTCTCCCTTGAACTTGTCAGAAAAGTGTACCTGGACTCTGCAAACCAGTGACTGAAATGCCATGCTGTTCCTCTTTTAATTTTGAAGGATCTTCTTCATCATTATCTCCTCTGTAAAGGAAAAAAACAACAACAATCTTTTAGCTTCCTGAGGTACCTAAACATCATTGCAACAAAATGTAATAGTTATCCTAGTCTTTTCCAACCCAAAACATAAAATAAGTCCTACTACAATGCAAAGGAACACTCACTCGCCAGGTGTTGACTGGGGTAATGGAATTGGCTTTGTGGATTGCTCCTTCACTGATGCAGCCATCCGACAGATTAGGTCCTGCCAGCTTCAGAAAGTTGGAAAGAAATCCAAAATACAAAAAAGAAACAACAAAAGAAATATCCTTTAAATATACTCACAAAACAAAAAGAAAAACAGAACTAAACAAAAACCAATCAACCAACCAACCAAAAAAAAAAACCACTCCACTCTGCCAGAGAATATCTTTATTTTGGCAACACACTATTAAGGTGAGAGTCCAAAACTATACCTTAAGAAAAATCGAACGTTATGGAGACATTACCCATTAAAAAAACTTCAGCTGACATTTCCCATATTTTTTTCTTTAGGAAATAAACTTCCAGAATAGAATCAAAATAAAAGGCATCAATCTAAAAAAGAACAATTTCATAGTAGAACGTCTCTAAAAGAGTAGAAGAAGTGCTTGGTTTCCATACATTATAAAAACAAAGTTAAGTTTATGGAGTATTATGCTTGGGATAATGAAAATAGTAGCTATAGCAAGGTAGCCATATCTAATACATACACAGTCTTTTCAGAAACTGTCTGTGCCACCAGTTCATAAATCTGAGCTCCATTGTCTGACATGGAGATGACGAATAAAGCTTTGTTATCTGGAAAAAACAAGACAAGATTACTCTAACACTCTGATCTTGGGAGACCATGAGGGATGTTTTTAGAGTCTTGAAATAGTCCTCTCCTTAAACTAGACAAAGGTTACATATATTTACTTTAAAATTCATCAAGATGTACAGTTAAAATTTGTGCAACTTACCATATTAACCTATTTATTGTATTATATTTATTGTACTTCAATAAAACAAAGATTATACAAATTAGCACTAATTCCACAATAATTCACTAGAAACAAAAGGATGTCAAAAATCCAAATTACTGGCTGGGCATGGTGGCTCATGCCTGTAATCCCAGCACTTTAGGAGGCTGAGGCAGGTGGACTTCTTTGAGCTCCGGAGTTCGAGACCAGCCTGGGCAGCATGGCGAAACGCTGCCTCTACAAAAACCAAAAAAATTAGCCAGGCCATGGTGGTACACGCCTGTAGTCCCAGCTACTCAGGAGGCTGAGGCCGAAGAATTGCTTGAGCACGGGATGCAGAGGTTGCAGTGTGCCAAGGATGCACCACTGAACTCCAGCCTGGGTGACAGGGTGAGACCCTCGTCTCCAAAGGAAAAAAAAAAATCCAAATTACCAAATTAAATGCTATTACTCTTTTGCATTTATTTTGAACTGCCCTTTTGCTAAGTTGTTAATAATATTCAGTGAATAGTGGAGAAAAGAGATCACAAATTTATTTTGCCACCATGAAACTAACAAGTTTTAAAAGGGACCCCTTTGTTAATAGAGTTAAAATATAACTTGCCAGTCAAATTTGATTTTTAATCAAAATTCCATCCATCTCTTCAGTTTTTTTTTTTTTTCTCACCAAATCAAAAAACATACCACCCTAAATGAAAGGCTTTTCACTGGGATCTATCAATGATTTGAACATAAAGAACCAAAGTAATAGCATAAAAATTTTCAAATACAGAAAACCATTCACAGAATCTAGACACCCTAAATAACTTTGGGGTATAAACTCTTAAGTCTCTTTCTAAGCAGTAAAATTCACATAATTTGCTTAATAATATAAAAATAGCAAGACTCTATGCCACTTGTGTTACTTAAACAGCAATGAGTATCTTATGCAACTTCACAATGAATCTGGAAATTAGTATCCTTCAGTGGACATACTTGCCTGTTGCCACTTGTCGAACCAACACTGTACTCAACTTAATGACAGGGCTAAACGTATGTTTGCTATCAGCTGTAGATGCCAGAATCTTACTATGACACCTTAACACCAGTCTATCATCCTGCTTTTGTAACAATACAAGAATGTCTTCCAGCAGCAATGTGTATAAATCTAGAAATAAAAGTACAGAAAAAAATGGTAAGTACAGAAATTGGGACGTCTTTGGTTAACTTCATAATGATTCAACAGAGGAATTTTATTTCTGTTAAAGCTACAAAATTTTCAAAATTGACTTGTATATTATCTTTTAAAATTTCATTTTCAATAATTCATTTTTATTTTATTTCACTAAAGTGTCAATCTGTGACCAACAGGAAATAAAAAACAACAAGCTGGGTGTGGTGGTGTGCGCCTATAATCCTGGCTACTAGGGAGGCTAAGGCAGGAGGATCACTTAAGCCCAGGAGTTCGAGGCAGCAGTGCACCATGACTGCATCTGTGAATAGCCACTACACTTCAGCCTGGGCAACATAGTAAGACCTTGTTTCTTGAAAAAAAAAAAAAAAAACAGTTCCTCATCACAGACAGTTTAAGAAGTACTGGTCTAAAGAAAGCTTACAAAGCATACTAAGACTTACTAGAATATAAAAATGATGGAAATAGGACTAAATCAGATCTCTGTTACATTCCTAAATGAATATTTAACACGTTACATATAATGAAATAACACAAGCAGATCTACAAATGTACAAATAACACGAGGTAGCACTGCTAACTGCTGAGAGAATGGTTCTCTCCTCTTCCTTTTGTCATAGGAAACTCCTATTTCTTCCCTTTTGCCACTCTCCCCAAAACTAACAGACAATATCAGACCTACCAATAGTTTTATCTCTATTCACCTTCCAAACCAATGGTCCTTCATGAATCATCTTCCTTTTTGTTAAATCCAAATTCTGGCAAAATAAAGAAAATCATGCACAAATAATTTCCAAGCACTCAGTAACATGATATTCTATATAATACAGTCTCTTTTTAAGAAATTCTTAATATAAAATACACCATTTACATCAACTATCATTACTGCTATTTGTCAGTTCTTGAAAATGGCACAAAGGCCATGTTAAAGTAATCTGCATACGATTTTCTAAAAAGGAAAATGTATCTTGCAGAAAAACATTCAGGAGTACTATCTTCCAAACCTCATTCTAAACAGATAATAACAGATTATGAAAATCAAGTTACAAACATTCAGCCACTAGAGTCTCAACATATCCTTTAATTTTTCTATGAATAATTGGATGAGCATGGTACATATGCTTGTCTATAAGAAAGTGGCTTCTGAGTTCCAAGGCTCTAATTTCAAAGAAAGTTCTAAGAAATAGTACTCATGAAAAGTCCAGGTACTACTTAGGCTTGGTCTAAATATTAACAACTTATTAGTAAGAGACTCATCTTTTAGTATTAGCAGCTCTAGAAAACTCTTATTCTTTGGAAGTTAAGGGGAATAAGCACATTTACAAGCTTGTTGACAAAGTATTAATATATGACACAAAAGTCTATTTTAACGGCCACCAAATAAATCTGCCAAAACCACCACCTAGTGAAATGGTACAAAAAGACTTAAAATCCGAAAAAGTTAACACATAAGCCCACACACTAGAAGTGGCAATTAGTAAACATTCTACTATTGTTCCTATAATGGTTCCAACTTTTATGCTTTTGAAGACCCTCATGAGAAAATAATACATTATCTTGTGTTATTAAATGACCTGGAAAGTTACCATAGTAAACAGTCCTACCCTTATTTAAACTACAGAACACCGGCTGGACATGGTGGCTCATGCCTGTAATCCCCGCACTGTGGGAGGCTGAGAAAGGAGTGCTTGAGCCCGGGAGTTCTGGACCAGCCTGACAACACAGCAAGACCTTGTCTTTACAAAACACAGAATTAGCTGGGCATGGTGGCATATACCTATAGTCCTAGCTGCTAGGGAGGCTGAGGTGGGTGGACTGGCTGAGTCCAGGAGGTCAAGGCTGCAGTGAGCCAAGATCGCACCACTGCATTCCAGCCTAGGCAACAGAGCGAGACCCTGTCTGAAACAAACAAACTACAGAACACAATACAATTAAATTTTATAATAATTAGTGTCCCTTAGTCTCCTGCCAATTGCTGTCATGTAATATTACAGTTTCATGCAAGACATTCCTCCAATGAAAGACTAATCTTCATACAGATCATGCATTTAAAAGGCAGCAAAAAAATCATAAATACAGATAATCTATGATACAAGAACTCCTTCAGGTGATGTATATTCCCATTGAGATGTTAATTACCTGCCAAGTCTTTAGCAAATTTTATTTTATTTTTAAAATTATGATTAGACCATCTCTCACCCTGAGCTCTTCAACATTTGGGTACTCTGACAACTTCAGGCTGGAGGTATCAAGGCGACGCTGATAATCTTCGAGGCGCTGAAAATTAGGCAGGGTGGAACCAAGGTTAGTGCTTTGGTCATTAATGACATTTCTGAATCAAACTTAGCATTTAAAATCTCCATTTTACTGAGCTCTTTGCAATGCTAGACAGGACTGAAAACTCACTCTCTTCCCTCGGCTTTGGTGATATTATACTCTCCTAGTTTTCCTCCTACCTCTTTGGGTTTTCTTTCTCAATCTTCTCTTCAAAGTCATTGGTCTCTTATTAGCTTATATTTACTTTCTGAATGTGTAAATCATGCACACAGTACAAAATTCAGATGGTGACATAAGGCAAAAAATAAAAAGTCTCCCTCTAACCTTGTCCTATTGCCCCACCTCCCTCAATTTTCCCTAAAGAAGCAATCACTAATATCCATTTCTTGGGTAGCCTTTGAGAAAAATTCTATGCAAATAGATATGTATATCTCGATTTATACATGCATATATAAGTATGCTAGTCTTCGTGCACGTTGTGTGTATGTGTCCTTTTTTAAAACAAGATATGGTAGCATAATATGTTCATATATGCATTCCTTTGGTATTCCTATATGTATTCCTCATTGAAATGGTAGAATATATTCATATATGTATTCCCCCGTGTGTGTGTGTGTGTGTGTGTGTGTGGTGTATGACTTACAAATATATCTTGGAGATTGTTCCACATGAGCACATATAGAGAGTTATTTCATTTTTTATAAATGACTATAGGATATAAAACTCTGTAAATAAACTATAATTTATTTCATTACGCCTTACTGATGGGCATTTAAGTTACTTCAGCTCTTCTATAACAAACAATACTGTAATAAAGTGGACTTAAATATATGTCTTTGTATACCCGTGTAGGATATCTGTAGGATGAATTTCCAGAACTGTTGGATCAAAGGGTAAGCACATTCCCCCTCAAAATCATTTCCAAATTTTACATGGAAAAGTCTGAATGAGCATAGTGAACACCTACATATTACCATCTATATTCTACAATTAACATTTGCTGTATTTGTTTTATCATATATCTATTTATTCATCCCTCTATCCATCAGTCCATCTTATTTTTTGGATGTATTTCAAAATAAATTACAGACATAAGTACACTTTACCTCTGAACATTTAAGTATCCATACAGTTTTTTTAAAAAGTAAAATTTGCATACAGTAGAACACACATTTTAAGTGTGTGTTCCATGAATTTTGACAAGTGCTTATACATTTGTGTAACCTAAACGTCTATCAAGATAGAAAACTTCACCCCAGAAAGTTTCCTCATACTTCTTTCCAGTTAATTTCTACCTCCACATCCCCAGTGGTAACCAGTTTTCTGTTTTCTTCCTACCATAGAATAGTTTAGTCTCTCTTAGAAGTTCATATAAATAGAATCATAGGGGCCGGGCGCAGTGGCTCAAGCCTGTAATCCCAGCACTTTGGGAGGCCGAGACGGGCAGATCACGAGGTCAGGAGATCGAGACCATCCTGGCTAACATGGTGAAACCCCGTCTCTACTAAAAATACAAAAAACTAGCCGGGCGAGTGGCGGGCGCCTGTAGTCCCAGCTACTCCGGAGGCTGAGGCAGGAGAATGGCGTAAACCTGGGAGGTGGAGCTTGCAGTGAGCTGAGATCCGGCCACTGCACTCCAGCCCGGGCTACAGAGCAAGACTCTGTCTCAAAAAAAAAAAAAAAAAAAAAAATAGAATCATAGGTATGTACTCTTTTGCCTCTGTTTTTTTTTCCATTCAGCATGTTTGTGAGATTTGTCCATGTTGTATGCCTTAGTGGTACATTCCTTTTTTTTTTTTAATCACTCAGGGCATTCTCTTTTATAAGTATACCACAGTTGGTTTATCCATTCTGTTGATAATTCTTGGGCTGTTTCTAGCTTTTTGCTATTATGAACAAAGTTGCTATAAGCATTCTTGTCTGTTTGTGGATGTATCTTTATCCTCAGATAAAGATATATTTTATTATTCAGAAAATCTAGGTGCATTTTCTTATGATTGACATTCCTACTAAAGTTAGTTAGTTAATTTGTTATCTGCTATTTCCAGCAGGCACAATGGATAACCAGCCTGAGTATGCCAGCTCATCTATATCAGGAGTCTGCAAAGTTTTTAGTAAAAGGTCAGTTAGGTTTTGCAGGCCATATAGTCTCTCTCGGTTATTCAGTTCCACTGTTTTGGAACAAAAGTAGCCACAGATAATACATAAATGATCAGGCTCTGTGTAGTAAAGAACTCTAATATGGTTCATTTCTCTTGAGCAAATCACTAGGAACAGAACTGCTGAGTCAAAAGGTAGATATAAGGGTATGTACAGAGTTTTAATCTAAATAAGTATTGCTATATAACCCTCTGGGATTTTATCATTTTACACTCTGAACAGCACAGTTGAAAGTACTAGTTTTTCTATAGCCTCACCAAGACAGTTGTAATCATACTTAGCTCCTAAGAAACTACATCCGTGTTCATGGATTCAATTAGCCTCTGTATGCTCAGAATCTTACATTTCTATCTTCAACATGGTCCTTACAGGTGGACCCATATAGCCAATTGCTTACTGTACAGTCTACCTGATAGCCCAAAGTGACCTCATCATCTTCCCCACAAATCTGGGGCTTCTCCACTCATCCTGTCCATTCAAATATGCAATCCAGAAACCTGGGGGTTTATTCTTGACATCACTTTTCCTTCAAATCCTTCTTCAAATCAGTCATCAAGTCCTGTCAATTTTACCTTCTAAATACTTCTCCAACTTCTCTAAGCTGCCATCAGCTATCCTAGATTGCTGCAAGATTAATAAATGGGCTCTTACATCCACTATCCTTCAACTCATTCTCCATAGAGGAGTAGGGGTGACATTTATATAATGAAAATCTGACACTATATTCTTACTTGTCTATGCTGAATTCCTACTGCTCTTAAGAATAAAAAATCAAAATTTTTAATCTGATCTCTAGGGCCTTTATGAGTTGGCCTTGGTCTACTTTCCCTCATTTTATGCCACTCTGACTTTGCTTTTTAGGCATGATCCACACTCATTTAAATTTTCAACTCCTCCAACAGACCATGCTTTCTTTTTCTGTCAGAACTTTGGTATATATTGCCTCTACCTCTAGGGTTGCACCCTTCACATCATTTTGGTTCACTTCCACTCATCCTTCAGAGCTTGGCTCAAGTGTCAATTTCTCAAGAAAATTTCCTCTAATAGGCACCACCTAACATCCCCAAACTAAGCTAGGCCACACAGTTATATATCATAGCATCTTGAAATTATCCTTGATAGCAGCTATCACAACTGATACAAAATATCCGCACTATAATCCTGTTAAATGCCTTTCTATCCTCCTAGCAAATGAGCTCAGTGTGGGCAGATACTGTGCTCATTTTCTCAACTACTCTGTACCCTATGCCCAGCATACAGTAGATGCTCTATAAATATCTGCTGAATGAACAGATAAATGAAAGAGCAAACAAGCAGCCTGAGATGTTCCAAAAAGTCAAACACAACTCTGATATTCTATTATAAATTGATCTTGACCTGCCTACTACGCCAACAGTAAACAAATGTTTTCCCTGTCCATTAGGTAATGATAGTTGTACAACTATTTCACAGATCCCAGGTAATACTAATTTAATGTTCTCTCAATGTTATCCCATATCTTCTTGTTTTCCTTTTTTACCTGCTTGTTTTCTGCCTCCTTGACAGCCTGATTTACATAATTTAAGATCTGACGACAGTGATCTGCAGCTTTCTTCACCTTCTCCCTTTCTGTTGGCCATTCTAAATATGGGGAAGAAATCAAAAACGTAAAATAGAGGAAATGAGCAGAAAACCATAAAAATATGTGTAAATGAGACTTCATTTCATTTCAATAGTTTTAAGAGCAAAAAATAGACCTTGAAGATTTTTGTACCAGCTTAAAGCCTCTGTCAGAGTCTCAATTCAAGCTGTCCTTGGACAGGTAAAACTTCTAACAGGACTTTAAAACATAAATTCTAATATTTAAAAAAGAAATTACAGTACAGAACCTGAAATCCAAGAAGAGATGCTTTACATGAAGCACCAGGACCACTATATTACACACTCCAGAAGGGCAGGTCTCATTTACTTTGTAAACAATATAAAAGGAAATCCCTTCTACCCCTAGAATTTCACAGAGCATAGCCTACATAATTATGTCCAGTGAATTTGTTAAACAAAATTTTTTAATAACATAATTCAAAATAATTCCAAAACAAGTTTCTTTGAATTTGAGATTATATTTAAAGAAAGAAAACAGATTACAACATTAAAAGAAGATGAAATTCATCAAAACATATTGAGGTGGCCCGAAGAAGACTAGATTATATCTTGTTAGAAAATCTTGGCTGGGCATGGTGACTCATGCCTATAATCACAGCACTTTGGGAGGTGGGAGGATTGCTTGGCTGGGCATGGTGGCTCATGCCTGTAATCCTAGCACTTCGGGAGGCCAAAGCAGGCAGACTGCCTGAGGTCAGGAGTTCAAGACCAGACTGGCCAATATGGTAAAACTCCGTTTCTACTAAAAATACAAGAAAATTAGCTAGGTGTGGTGGTGTGTGCCTGTAATCCCAGCTACTCGGGAGGCTGAGGCAGGGGAATTGCTTGAACCCAGGCAGTGGAGGTTGCAGTGAGCTGAGATTGTGCCACTGCACTCTAGCCTGGGTGACAGAGCGAGACTCCATCTCAAAAAAACAAAACAAAACAAAACGTACTGAGGCTCTGTCATGTCTATAATACAAAGAAAACCAAAATCAGAACATTCAAAATTATAATCCTCCAAACCACAGTCCAACTAGACTGAGCAGATATATTAAATTATAAAAATTAATGTGTATGAGTGTAACCCACTTTTGTAACCAGGTACCATAATTTAAAATTTCCTGGTTATGCATTCAAATTCTCAGGCACAAGAAACAAGATTTCAGTTGCATTAAATTATTAGTGAGAGCTAAGTATAAGAACCTAAAGCTCAATTGAGAAACAGATTCACTTCATGTTTCAAAACAGGAGAGTTGGAATTACAATGCATTGATTTGGCTTAATAAAAGTCATAGATAGATATCCATGAAACATCTCTTCAGCCAAGGATGAACCTTCTTTAAAGCAAAAATGATGTAGCCTAGAACAAGGATGGTCAAACTTTTTCTGTAAGGGCCAGATAATTTTACACTTTGCAGGCCAAATGGTCACTGATAAAACTACTCGACTCTGCTGTTATAATGTAAAAGCAATCAGGGACAGTGCATAAACAGATGAGAATGGCTGTGCTCCAATAAAACTTTACTTACGAAAACAAATAGTGAGCATGACTTGGTCTATGATTCACAGTTTGATAAACCCTGTGCTAAAGCTACTAATGGAGTACATTAAATCAAACAGCCCAAAGAAGACTAGATTATATCTTGTTAGAAAATCTTGGCTGGGCATGGTGACTCATGCCTATAATCACAGCACTAGAGGATTGCTTGAGGCCAGGAGTTTGAGACAGCCTGGGCAACATAGTGAGACCCTTGCTTAAAAAAAAAAAAAAAAAAAAAGCCATGTGTGGTGGTGTACACCTGTAGTCCCAGCTGTTGGGGAAGCTGAGGTGGAAGGAATGCCTGAGTCCAGGAGTTTGAGGTTTCAGGAAACTATGACTGTGCCACTGTACTCCAGCCTGCATCACTGAGTGAGACCCTGTCTCAAAAAAAAAAAAAAAAAAAAAAAAAGAAAATCTTGTACTATTTGGAAATCCAACTCCATTCAGGATGCTGTAAGATATTATTTACAGGATATTGGGCGTTTTTTTGTTGTTGTTCCTAAGCTTTTTATTTCAGTGAAAATGTTGTACCTGTGTATTTGCCAATATTATCCAATAGAAGTGGGTACTTAGTAAGCCTTTGCATTTGAGTGGGAATAATATCCTTCAGTTGAAGACGACGACACAGTGGATTACTTTCAGCATCCTAAAATTAAAGTGAAACAAGTGAATCTGTAATTCTTATTAGAATCATAGTTAACATGTACTATGTATTCACTGTAAGTGTTTAATGCATCACAGTTCTGGTTATTAAATCAAGATCTTTAAAAAATGCCAAGATATATCATTGCCACACTATACTTCTGCTTTCTCCTTTAATCACATAATGGGGGAACGGAGCCTCTACCACTAAATGAATGGCTTCTTTGTTATCTGTTTAAGGAGGGACTGAAAGCATCCATAAGCAGCTCTACGTATTGCTTCCTTGTGTTAAAACAGTTTTATCTTCACCTATTCAGAAAATCTAGGTCCATTTTCCTATGATTGACATTCCTACCAAAAGTGGTTAATTTGTTATCTGCCATTCCAAGAAGGCACAATGGATAACCAGTCTGAGTATGTCAGCTCATCTATACCAGTGGTCTGCAAAGTTTTTAGTAAAATGCCAGTTAGTAAATATTTTAGGCTTTGCAGGCCATATAGTCTCTCTCACAACTATTCAGCTCCACTGTTTTGGCATAAATGAATGAACAAGGCTCTGTGTAGTAAAGAACTCTAATATGGCCTCCAAGGTTCCCATCCTCTTGTGTAAATACTCTGTGTAATCCCATGCCCTTGAGTATGAACATTTTGGAATCTGTGAATACAACGGGATATCACACCTGTGATTAGGTTGCCACCACATGATTTTGAGATCGTAAGAAAGGAAATTGTCCTGGATGGGCCTGACTTCATTAGAAGAGCCTTTAAAACAAATCTGTATCAGAAAGCCACATTCCTACTGGCCTGGAAGAAAGCAAACATCCACCTCTAAACTGCCTAACGGGGCCATATGGCAGAGATATCTGTGTTCTCTAGGAGTTGAAACTGGTTCCTAGCCAATAGCCAGCAAGGTAGGACCTCAGTTATATATTTACAAATAAATGAACTCTGCTAACAAACAGTGAGCTTAGAAGAGAATCTCGAGCATCAGATGAGAATTGCAGCTCCAACTGACACTGTGATCTCAGCCTGGTCAAACTCTCAAGGGAAGATCCTGCTAAACCATAGCCACACACCACAACAACTGTGAGAAATCTGTCAAGTGGCCATGTTTGTGTTTACATAAAACTTTACAAAAACAGGTAACAGGCTAGATATGGTCTGTTGGCCATAGCTGAAAGACCCTTAATTCATATACCCCAATGAGTATGGCTGCTGTTATGTTTTTCCCTGGAGAAGCCCATTCTCATGCTTTGACAATATTCTCTTAATAGAGCATACGGTTGTTTCCTGATAAAAGCCTGGTGGCAATGTGGATTTCTGTATCAAGTATTTTAATCCTGACATATATTTTTCATTATTCACCATTCCAAAATCATTTTTATGCCTTCCAGGAATTTAAGAGATAATGTATAGCTTTTAAAAATGTTAATATGGGCCGGGTGTAGTGGCTCACACCTGTAATCCCTTTGGGAGGCCGAGGCGGGCGGATCACTTGAGGTCAGGTGTTCGAACCCAGCCTGGCCAACATGGTGAAACCCTGTCTCTACTAAAAATAGAAAAAATTAGCAGGGTGTGGTGGCATGCACCTGTAATCCTAACTACCGGGGAGGCTGAGGCAGGAGAATCACTTGAACCCAGGAGGCAGAGGTTGCAGTGAGCTGAGATTGTGCCACTGCACTCCAGCCTGGGCGACAGAGCGACACCCTGTCTCCAAAAAAAAAAAAAAAAGTTAACATAGATGTAATCTTTGTAAAAGTCTTAGTCAGAATTCCCCCAGTTTATCTGATAATTGATAAAAACTTGCCTTATTTTTTTTCTTACATGACTCACTCAACTCACTTGCACAAAAGTCTGAAATCGAGAATCCTTTTTCTGACGAGACTTGATCATTTCCAGGGCGAAAGGTTGGTTACTGCAAAAGGTAGCAGCAGCATGTTTCAATTTCTCCTCTCCTGGTCCACTGAACTGTGCCAAGAATGCAAAGAACACAAAAGAGAATGGGATACTGAGCTTATACAAGGCCAGACAAAGAGACAGACAACCAGAATCCTTTCAACATTTCAATAAGTACTCTCAAGTGACAAAATACACAGAACTGCATATCTCTGTGGAATATCAATGGTTCTCCATTAAAAAGGTCTGACCTTGACACAACCAGACCTTTTCTGATCATATTCCAATGCTTTCTTCTTCTTTTTTATTTTTTTGAGAGTCTTGCTCTGTCACCCAGGCTGGAGTACAATGGCACGATCTCGGCTCACTGCAACCTCTGCCTCTCAGGTTCATGAGATTCTCACCTCTGCCTCCCAAGTAACTGATATTACAGGCATGCACCACCACACCCAGCTAATTTTTGTATTTTCAGTAGAAACGGGGTTTCACCATGTTGGCCAGGCTGTTCTCAAACTCCCGACCTCAGCTGATCTGTCTGCCGCGGTGTTCCAAAGTGCTAGGATTATAGGTGTGAGCCACTGTGCCGAGTCCCAATGTTTTCTTGCTTGTAGCCTATCACAACCTATTACCTTTTAGCCTACATTACTTATAAATTACACAGAAAACTGACATTTGGAGAATGTAAGATACAAAATGCCTGAAGACTGAGACTAAATTTTCATTCTTTTTTTTTTTTTTGAGACAGTCTCATTCTGTGGCCCAGGCTGGAATGTAGTGGTGCCATCTCAGCTCACTGCAACTTCCGCCTCCCAGGTTCAAGTGATTCTCCTGCCTCAGCCTCCCAAGTAGGTGGGACTACAGGCATGCACCACCACGCCTGGCTAATTTTTTTTTTGTATTTTTAGTAGAGATGGGATTTCACCATGTTGGCCAGGCTGGTCTTGAACTTCTGAACTCAAGTGATCTGCCTGCCTTGGCCTCTCAAAGTGCTGGGATTATGGGCATGAGCCACTACACCCAGCCTAAAATTTAATTTTCTTACACCCTGACACCTTTACAACAACTAACATCTTACTACTCTGGGAAGCAAATCCTTGGCACACTAGCATTCTTTCTTACTCACTATAAAACCCACTATGACCACAGGCAGGGCATAACTTTTCTAGGTTCAAATAAAATTAAATCACTGCTGTTTCACCTGTGTAGCAGCTGGAGATGGCTTGGGGGAGATCAATGAGCTTACGAATTCTTTTGCTAAAAATTATACTTCTCACTAATATTTTTTACTTTGTAAATTTAAGTTTGCATATGTCATGATTTTAAGATTTCTGATGGTCAAACACCTAAAAAGTGATTTACTAGTAGCTGCTCTTATAAGTCAAATACATTGTTTTTTAATACAGCCTCTATATTTGTAGATAATTGCTTTATGGTTTGTGAATATGTCTTCCATATAATCTTCCATTTAAAGCCATATTCCCAAAAGTTTGTACATAAAGGTATTTTGTAAAAAGCCCTTCTGTAGCACATTTGTAGATAAATTCAGAGATTTTTTCAAGTAGGACACATACAAAGCAATATTTTAATAGGTCACTCCAATTTTGTATTCTTACTCTATGATGAGTATGACATTCAACATGTTTAACAATGAGATTGGCAGCATTTTTAGCATGTTAGTCACTCAAAGCACCAAACAACTACAAACAGCAGCTGGGTTTACCAAAGAAAATAATACCCCCAACCTCAAGCAGTTCTACAGTAGTTTGTTTTTGTTTTTGAGATGGAGTCTCGCGCTGTCGCCCAGGCTGGAGTGCAATGGCTCTATCTCGGCTCACTGCAACCTGCACCTCCCAGGTTCAAGTGATTCTCCTGCCTCAGCCTCTGGAGTAGCTGGGATTACAGGCATGCACCACCATGCCTGGCTAATTTTGTAATTTTAGTAGAGATGGGGTTTCTACATATTGGTCAAGCTGGTCTGACCTCAGGTGATCTGCCTGCCTCGGCCTCCCAAAGTTCAGGGATTACAGACCTCCGTGAGACACGGCGCCAGGCCTCTACAGTAGTTTTACAAGCAGTTTAAGTATAGATGTTCCTTGATTTCTGATGAAATTATATCCTAATACAACCATCAAAAATTGAAAATATCTTAAGTTGAAAATGCATTTAATACACTGAACCTACCAAATACCATAGCTTGGCCTAGCCTACCTTAAATGTGCTCAGAACACTTGCATTAGCCTACAGCTGGGCAAAATCATCTATATACACTGTAGAGTGGTTGTTTACCCTGTGATCACATGGCTGACCAGGAGCTGTGGCTCACTGTTGCTGCCCAGCATTGAGAGTAACGTACCACATATTGCCAAGCTCCGGAAAAGATTAAAAGTCAAAATTCAAAGTGTGGTTTCTACTGAATGTGTATTACTTTCCCACTACTGTAAAGTAAAAAAACTGCCAAAGTGGGAACCATAGTAAGTCAAGGATTGTCTGTATATGTAAAGTGATCTTAAGGAAACAATACTGGAAAAATACTTTCCAAAATGATTTTATTTAAACAGCAAGAGTAAAATCTAAAGGCCTATTTATGATTCTTGCTTCTATGATTTCTGGCCAATGCCTTCTTCTGAATTAACGCTTTGTATGTGACAGTTACAAACCACCATTTAGTTTTTCCTCAACTTTTTACAGGTACAGGCATACTTCGTATTTTTATCATACTTTGCAGATATTGTATTTTTTACAAATTAAAGGTTTGTGACAACCCTGAGCAAGTCTGTCGGTGCCATTTTTCCAAAACCATGTGCTCATGTCATGTCTGTGTGCCACATTTTGGTAGTTCTCATAATAGAATCTGTTACGGTGATCTGTGATCAGTGATCTCTGATGTTATTATTTATTGTTTTGGGGCACCATGAACTTCACCCACATGTGGTGGCAAACCTGATGGAAAAATGTTGTGTGTGTTCTGACCATCCCCCATCTCCCTTCCCTTTCCTTGGGCCTCCTTATTCTGAGACACAACAATATTGAATTTAGGCCAATTAACAACGCTGCAATGGTCTTTAGGGATTCAAGTGACAAGTCGTACATCTCTCACTTGAAATTAAAAGCTAGAAATGATTAAGTTTAGTAAGGAAGGCATGTCAAAAGCTGAGATTTGGCTCTTATGCCAAATGGCCAACTTGTGAACACAAAGAAAAAATTCTTGAAGGAAATAAAAGTGATACTCCAGTGAGCAAATGAACAAGAGGAAAGTGAAACAGCCTATTGCTGGTATGGAGGAATTTTGAATGGTCTGTATAAAGAAGATGAAATCAGCCACAATATTCCCTTAAGCCAAAGCCTAATACAAAGCAAGTCCCTAATTCTCTTCAATTCTATGAAGGCTGAGAGGTAAGGAAGCTACAGAAGAAGAGTTTGAAGGTAGCAGGGGTAAACTGATGAGATTTAAGAAAAGAAGTCGTCTCCCTAAAAATAAAAGTACAAAGTGATGCGGCAAGTGTTGACATAGCAGTAGAAGCTACGGTAAGTTACCCAGAAGACGTACCTGAGATAATTAATTACAACGGCTACACTAAACAACAGATTTTCAATGTGGATGAAATAGCCTTCCATTGGAAGAAGATGCCATCTAGAACTTTCACAGCTAGAGAGGAGAAATCAATGTCCGACTTCAACATGTCAAAAGAAAGTCCAGTTCTCTTGTTAGGGGCCAATGACTTTAAATTGAAGCCAATGATAATTTACCATTCTGAAATTCCTGGGGCCCTTAAGAATAATGCAAAATCTACTCTGCCTGTGTTCTATAAATGAAACAACAAAGCCTGGATGACAACACGTCTGTTACGACCTACTGCTCAGAAAAAAAAAGTTATTTTTAAAATAGTACTGCCCATTGACAATGCACATGGTCACTTAAAGACTTCTGATGGAGATGTACAAGGAGGTTAATGTTGTTTTCAGCCTGCTAACACAATATTCATTCTGCAGCTCATGGATCAAGGAGTAATTTTTACTTTCAAGTCTTATTATTTAAGAAATATATTTCATAAGGTGATAGCTGCCATAATAGTGATTCCTCTGATGGGTCTGGGCAAAGCAAACTGAATACCTTCTGAAAAGGATTCAATATTCTAGATGCCATTAAGAACATTCATGATTCACAGGAGGAGGTCAAAATATCAATATTAACAGGAGTTTGGAAGAAGTCGATTCCAACCCTCACAGGTGACTTCCAGCGGTTCAAGACTTCAGTGGAAGAGGTAACTGCAAAAAAACCAGGATTACAGTGGAGCCTGAAGGTGTGACTGAATCACTGCAATTCATGGTATGACTTTAATGGATAAGGGATTGCTTCTTACAGATGAGCAAAAAAAAGTGGTTTCTTGAAATGGAATCTACTGCTTGACCTTTTTCAGCTTTACATTAACTTTGCAAAATGGGTGAGTTTGCGTATTCGGAAAGGTTAGTTACTCAATCTTGAATCTGACCAAGTGTCCATAAAAATAATAAAGAGAAACAGAAAATTTCCTTACCCATGTCAGCAAATCTTCCCCAATCTGATCGATAACAGAGGTCTCATTTCTCTTTCGAACAGCCTTCATTTGTTCATTCAATCCAACTAAAGATAAAAAGATAGAAAAACGTTAGTAACACACTCAGTGTAGACAGAATTACTGGTAGTACAGAGTAGCTAATTTTTTTTTTTTTATAAAGAGGATTTTCACAGTAGTATAGCTGCTTCTTATCTCCTTAAATAGAAATCTGGACATAGTGCTTATACATCCAGATATTATAAACTCTATCTGAAAAACAGGTGCTAAAAAAAAAAGTTTTGGAAACTAGCACATTACATACATGGTAGTTGCATCAAATATTCATTTAACCTCAAGACTCCATCCATAATCATGCTCAAAAAGAACTTGAATGTAAACAGTACAAGTAATTCTGTTCACTGATCCTCTCAAAATGTGTAAGTGTGCAGGCAATGGATATAATCAAGCCTGAACTTGTCAATGCATGCCTGTGAAACCCAAGATTATCCACAAAGGAATAAAAGGCATCAATTTGGTTAGCAGATGTTTATAGGTAGTAATGACATGAAAAAGAAAGATAAAAAAATTAAGGGTCATAGAGAAATAGTGATCTATAAATGAGAGGAACATCATATTACCGTCCACAAAAGTCCAAGATGATTTCAACCAATAAAATGTCAACAAGGTAGAATTTTTATATACTTATTCAAGTGTTCTAAGCCACAAAACAATAAAACAATTTCTGAGGCTAGGCGCAATGGCTCAGCCTATAATCCCAGCACTTTGGAGGCCAAAGCAGGTGGGTGGATCACTTGAGGTCAGGAGTTTGAGACCAGCCTGGCCAACACGGTGAAACCCGTCTCTACGAAAAACACAAAAATTAGCTGGGTGTGGTAGTGCACGCCTGTAATCCCAGCTACTCAGGTGGCCGAGGTGGGAGGATCCCTTGAACCCAGGGGGCAGAGGTTGCAGTGAGCCAAGATTGCACCACTGCACTCCAGCTTGGGCAACAGAGCGAGACTCTGTCTCAAAACAATAAAAACAATTCCTGAAAATTACCCAACCATGCGATTATATACCATATACTACTATTTTTAAAATACATTTATACACACATTATATTGGATATATATATTTAAAGAGAGATATGTACTATAATTGATAGAAAATTTTCAACAGTGAATTTGACTATTCATGTTTTTCACCTTAGACACTGACTTTAGACTGGAAGCCCTATGTTGACACATTGTATATGTAAGACTGATTGTGAGGAAAAGGATCTAGTCAAAGTTCTAATCATTCCTTTATTTATGTTACATTCTCACAAATAATCTCAGGAATACTAACATGGGTACATTTACAAAATTTTATACTCATAATATTTTCTCTATTGGAAACGTTAGGGGCAAAGATCAGAGTTAATTTCTCTTACTATGAAGTTGAAGAATATCTTCCAAGTTTGAAAAAATTTTCCGTAGCTCTGAGGGTGACAGAATTCCTTCTCTGGACACTCGCTGATAGAACACTTGATCAAGAACCTTCAGTGTTCGAACATGAGCTCTTTCAGTGTAGAACAATTCTGAGCAGGAAAGACATATGAAATGTTGCCTTACTTAGAACAATTTCATAGGATCAATCATACTCTTTAGCTGGCGTGAAGTAGCAAATGAATTATATAATACATTATTTATCATTTAGAAAGGATAAAATATCTCTGAATTCATTCTGATTCCAAGAAATTATCCTACATACTGGCTCTGAGAGTTGAATACTGACAAATAAAAAATATCATTCAAAACTTTTTTTTTTAGTGTATTCCCAAACTCATCTATCTGTTTACAATAATACCCACCTATCACAACTATGTCATTAAGAAAACTGTAAGCCCCAACATCATATAGCCTTTAATTTGAGCCCTCTTAAGAAATAATAGTACTTTTGGTTACCTAATTTGCCTATAAACACTCATTTCTGGTGTCAGGCTTATAATTTCATGATGTCTCAGTATTGTCAGAGACAAGATATTTATTCAAATCACATGCTAAGGATAGCAAAGGGTACAGCATCCATGCCACACATTTATCACAAACATGCTAGGGTAAATGAAGAACACTGCACTTGGATACAGAAAGAAGACCAGGAACGAAATTTTTTTCCTTTTATATTATTAGCTGTATGATCTTAATGAATTCAATCTCCCTGGGCCTTACCTTCCTCATTTAAAATCTATGCATAAAAATAATTTAGTTGTTACAATGACTTTTCAACTTTAAGATCTATAATGCTACGAATCTTAAATATCTTTAAGGCTAAACAGGTTTTCCTTTTAAATTATCAATAAGAATCACAGAAGCATTTGCATTTTCTTGAGGTCAAGGATTATCTGTCCAGTTTAATTTCCTCTTTGTTTAAAACAAAAGGCTAGGAGAAACTTAGAAGCAAACTCCGAGGCTGAGAGAGACTTAATTTACTCTGACAAAACTCAGTATCTGTAAACAACAACAAATTGATTACACTCACCATTAATCACTTCCTGTCTTTTGATCTCACAAGGTTTTAGTCCCAATAACACTTCTCGACTAACAAGCTGCTGCCAGTTGGGTGGATCTGTCTCTAAGTCGTTTTCAAATTGTTCATCCTCACTTTGACTTTCTCCAAAAGCTACACTGTCAAACCTACGAAGCAAAAATAATGAATTCAATTTGAGGGCTTCAGGTAGACAACGGGAAACAGCATACGTCTTTATATTACAATAAATTCTAATCAGATTCCTGAATCTGACTTAGCACAGAGCCTGAAATTTCATCCTCTCCTACAAATGGCTGTTTTATACATACTTCAAAATACAGCTTTTGAATGACTGGTATTTCTTAACAGCTTTCTTTTAGACTACATAACAGATTGGTATACAGGGTTTCTTTTCCTTTAAACTGGAACTTCAAGAGGAAAAAGGGTTACATTTCTTAAAATGCGCCTTTATTGAAAGCTGCTTAAGATACACTTACTTTCGAAAGGGCTTTGGTGTCCCATGTTCAGTCACCCTAAAACAATGGAGAGTAAAAAGTAACATGAAAACAAAATGGTGATCAATAAATTTATACCAAGGATACTCAAAGCTAGGTGAAACTCCAACAAGCTTAATAAATAATTCTTTGGGATACTGTAATAATATAAAAAAAATTGAAGAAAATTTGAGTACCTTTCTAAATTTCAGTAACAAGTTCTGAAATGGTGTTTTAGTTCTTTCATGCACCCAACTTATTTATTTATTTATTTTATTTTTTACAGTTTGAAGTGGGGGCTTACTACATTGCCCAGGCCTGTCTCAAACTCCTGAGTTTAAGTGATTGATTCTCCTGCCTCAGCCTCCCAAGTAGCTGGGATTATAGGTACATACCACCATGCCAGGCTTAAGTGTTAGAATGCTACTAAATATAGGAATAGTATATAATTTAAAAACTTTAAGTAATGCCCTAAGTTTCTCTAAGATATCACTGAATTACCTCTCTACTTCACATTCCTCCTCCTGCACTTGGTCTAATGGAGGTGGTGGGAAATCAAAGACAGTATTGAGAGTACGAGGTGTGCCATCTAAGGTGTCTCCAGGTGCTGGTGTTTCTCCAACTTGCTTTGATCCTATAGACAAAAGTCAGACATTTGAAGAGTGTTAACACTTAATAAAGTCACTGGTCACCAAAAAAAATTAGTTCCCAGAAGAGCTTCAGTCTAATCCATAGCTACATTCTTTAAACAACTGCAGGTTCACTAGAACTAAAAATTTAACATACAAAATTATGGCATCTCAGGCTCACGTGATCCTCCCATCTCAGCCTCACATGATCCTCCTGTCTCAGCCTTCCAAGTAGCTGGGCCTACAGTTGCGTGCCACCACACCTAGCTCATTTTTAAATTTTTTGTAGAGATGGGGTTTTGCTACTTTGCCTAGGCTAGTCTTGAATTCCTAGGCTCAAGCAATCCTTTCCCCTTGGCCACCCAAAGTGCTAGGATTATAGGTGTGAGCCACCATGCCTGGTCAGAAAAATAATTTTTAAAGTTGTTTCTTAAAAATTAACATAAGAAATAGCAAGGACTCACATAGTGCAGAAGAGTATATGATGAGGAACAACATTTTCCCATCTTATGCTTTTCTACCCCAGTATCAATCTTTTTTCATGTTTTCAAATGTGAGTTATTACAGTGGTCCAACTACAAATAACCTCTTTCTTTTTCATGATTTATTATCTTTAGTTAGCATCTATTTCTTTCCCCTCTGAGGATTTTGCTGACTTATACTTTCCACCTTCACTTTCCTCCCATTTCTTCCCAATGTTTAATAGTTTTATCATTATTACTAACTGGGTTATCAGTTACTACCTAAATTTAAATGACATGTCTATGTTTTTGTTCTATCAAAAAGTTAGTATCTCAACTCTGTTCTATGTCAGATTAGGTATTCAGTGTCCACATCCTCCCTCTAATTGTATTTCCTTCCTTCTACCTTTCATTTCTTTCAACTACATTTTTACCTGCGTCATAAAAGAATTTTTTACATTTGTATTCTAATCTGCAGCCATAATGAACTATTCCATGCTTTGCCTGGTAGGGTTATTCTACAAGTCTGAAAACCAAGAAAAAGTGCTTATGACATATACATACTGTCATCTACAACACACATGTATACATCATTCCCGCCAGATTAAGAAGTATACTAGTTAGGATTATATATTTTTTCCTGCTGGTCCAATGATGCAATTCATGGGCCACTTCAAACAGAACGTTTATTAAAGTCTTTCTTACACACCATCAATTGCTAAAGATCATGCTACTTTTTATCTTGCTTCATGTTGAAATCATGACTTATTTTCCTGAACAACTGTTTTTCTTAACATTTCTAAATGCTTTTCTTTTATTGCTGTCAAAGTTACATAATTTTATCAAGTCTCAAACTGTTTCCTCTGCTGCTTCATACTATCCACTGCCTAAGATCCCCCTTTTCTTATCTGTGATGTTCTTGTGTTCCAAACTGGAGCAGTGGCTCTCTTGGCCTGAGACACAACCATCATTTCAGAACTGCCCTTTGCCACTTTCCTGGGTGTTTCCAATGTTTCCTGGATCCCAGGACATTTTCTTTCTTAATTTTTCCTCTCATGTTGCTAGAATGTGTATCCTCAAATGATTTTAAAGGGAAACGTACATTCCAGTTAAACTGTGGACCTTGCGTATCTGAAAATGTCTTTATTCTTTCTTCATATTTGATGAATAGCTTGGATGGATATAGGATTCTAAGTTCAAAACCATTTTCCTTCAGAAAGTTGAAGGCATGGCTCTTTTGTATTTCAGCACCCAGTGTTATGATGAGGAATGTGATGTAGTATAATCCCCATTTTTTTCCTCTGAAAGCTTATCCCTGGTGCACTAAATTTCAAAGGACATGTTAGGAATGGATTTTTAAAAAAGCATTCACTATAGATGGTTCTGTCATCTAGCAATGCTAAAAGTTGGCTGGTGGCTCACAGTTTTCCTCTCCATGATAAAAACCACACTTGGTGACCTCACAAGCCATGAATATTAAGCTATGCAAACTCCTGGCTCCTTGGTTCCTTGCCGTCTTCATCCCTAGTAGCCCCCTCTATGGCACCTCAGGGACCACTCCCAGAGCCTCATTCTTGATCATGTCACCACCAGAAATTGAACCACCTCCCGAACAAGGATGAAGACATGGTAATAAGCTCCTTGCCCAATTATCTACAACAATTACTTCATATCTTTCTTTACTCTTCAAATTCCCTTGCTTTTCTCACTGAACTCTCACTCTCAGTAAACAGTCTTACCTTTACATACATTCCACATCTCCTCTCCTCTCTCCTCACAACTCTGTTCTACTGCTTATGTACTGTCTCCCACATATTCTACCTTTTCTTTCAGTTGCCTTCCTACTAACATTGAAAAATAAAACCTCTAGTTAATCTCAGATTTTTAAAAAGTCTTCTTTAGACACCCACATCTGCCTCTAACTACTGACCAGTTCCCTCAGTACTCCCTTTACCTTTCCTTGATTGGACCTGGCACAATTTGCATTTTTTATATTTGTGACTATCGCTCTCAAGACAGTAAGCTCATGAGGCAAGCATCTGTGTATAATTATTGCATGTTAACATCCGAGACAAACCTAATGCCTGACAAGAGAGCTTAATAAATTTTTTTTTGGACAAATCAGAACTTAAATTATCATTCAGCATAGATTTATTATTGGTTGTAGCATATTAAAATGTTAAAATTAAATTAAACTGGGATTTAGTCTTGATTAACTTGCCACTCTATTTTTCAGTTAGTGTGTTTAAAATCTTGATGCTTAGTTAAGCTGAACTACAGCACTAGCTCACCTGTATCATTCTCTTTCCCTCCTTCCTGGGAAAAAGAGGCCCCTGAAGCCACAGAAGACACGGAATTGGCAGGCAGGTATCCAGCGTCTGTTCCTTCATTTGCTAACCCACTCTGACGCACCTTGGCAGAGTCCTGAGGTTCAGGACTCACAGATGAGGGTGTGGATAAGTGCTTAGGGTGGCGCGCCTTCTGTAGTTCCATGGCTCTGCCAACTGAAAAGAAAATGGTGGTTAATCATCTGGATTGCGGCCGGATGTGGTGGCTCAAGCCTATAATCCCAACATTTTGGGACGCCAAGGTGGGTGAATCACGAGGTCAGGAGGTTGAGACCATCCTGGCTAATATGGTGAAACTCTGTGACTATTAAAAATACATAAGGCCGGGCGCGGTGGCTCAAGCCTGTAATCCCAGCACTTTGGGAGGCCGAGATAGGCGGATCACAAGGTCAGGAGATCGAGACCATCCTGACTAACACGGTGAAACCCCGTCTCTACTAAAAATACAAAAAAATTAGCCGGGCGTGGTGGCAGGCACCTGTAGTCCCAGCTACTTGGGAGGCTGAGGCATAAGAATGGCGTGAACCCAGGAGGCGGAGCTTGCAGTGAGCCGAGATCGCTCGGCTGCATTCCAGCCTGGGAGACAGAGCGAGACTCCACCTCAAAAAAAAAAAAAAATTTAAAAAAATAAATAAATAAAATTAGCCAGGTGTGGTGGTGGCACATGCCCGTAATCCCAGCTACTTGGAAGGTTGAGGTAGAAGAATCGCTTGAACTCGGGAGGCAGAGGTTGCAGTGAGCCGAAATTGCGCCACTGCACTCCAGCCTGGGTGACAGAGCGAGACTCCATCTCAAAATAAATAAATAAATAAAACAAATAAAATAATCTATATTGCAAATTAGCTAAAAGCAAAAAAGGACAATGTAAAAGAATCTGGTAAAATGTGTGAAACATGGTAGACCCAAAACTATATATATATAGTGGATTGTTATGCAGAGAAACATACAGACAGACAGACGAAGGAAGGAACAAGAGGAGAAAAGGAGAGGAAGGTAGACAAGAAAGATGGGGAGATGGAGGAGGGATGAGACAAGACGATGAAAGTGAGGAAGAGGAAGATGCAGGGAAAGAAGAAGGGTCATGAGAAAAGGAGAACAATGGTGGACAGAGGGAGGAGGAATACTGAGAGACATGGAGCTGTGTTCATTTGTAAGAATGAAGATGAAGTCTTTATTTCTGTGAGTTCTTAGTAAGCTCCCACCCCAGTTCTCTCCCAACACTCACACCTTCATCATCATCATGTACCTCAAAGACCATCCAGACCAATCCCCATCCTGCTAATTATCCCTGTTCACAAAGTCACCACAAGAAGCCAAAGACTCCCACTCAGGTGTTTAATCTCCAGAGCATTCTACACCCTCACCCAGCTTTTTATACCCTTATCTAACCCCTAATTCCTGAAATTCTTCTTTTGTATCCCTTGGAACTCACAGTTAACATCTGTGAAATCTTCTATCTCTTTAACTTCCTCTGAAAATTTCACACCTTCTCAGTGTTTCTCAACAAGGGGCACTAATGGCATTTGAGGGAGAACTCCTCAATGTGTGGGACATTCACTATCACGATCCTACTCACACCACCTACCATGCCAATATCTTTTTTTTTTTTTTCGAGACAGTGTTTCACTCTGTCACCCAGGCTGGAGCTTAGTGGCGAGATGATGGCTCACGGCAGCCTTGACTCCCCAGACTAAAGCAACACTACCTCCACCTCCCAAGTAGCTCGGACGACACACACGCACCATGATACACAGCTAATTTTGGCTGTTGTTGTTGTAGAGGCAGGGTCTCACTATGTAGCCCAGGCTGGTCTCGAACTCCCAGGCTCAAGTGATCCTCCCGCCTTGGCCTCGCAAAGTGTTGGAATTACAGTCAAGAGCCACCGCACCTGGCTTCAGTATTTTCAAATGTGGTACTTCCTGAGATAAGAACCATCACATGACCCTTCCCCATGGTACCACCATCCCTATTTCTCCTGCAGCCATCTCAAGTGGGCTGATCTCTCTTCATTGGGCCTGGGGTGGAAGGGAAATCAGCAAATAAAGTACAATGGAGAGGTGGAGAAATTTTAGAAGTATGGAGACTAAGTAAATATGTATAAAGAGACTAAACAGTGTGGTGGAGAGATCTATACACACTTTTTTTTTTAATTTAACAAACACAAGTTGAATGGAAACAAAATCAGAAGAGGTAAGTAAACCACGTTATGGACATTTGACAGAATACTGCCACTAAATATATTTTTTTCTTTTTCCCCTTTTCTTTTTGTTTTTTTGAGATAGAGTCTGGCTCCAGTGTCACCCAGGCTGGAGTGCAGTGGTGCAATCTCGGCTCACTGCAACCTCTGCCTTCCAGGTTCAAGCAATTCTTCTGCCTCAGCCTCCCAAGTAGCTGGGACTATAGGCATGTGCCACCGCGCCCGGCTAATTTTTTGTATTTTTAGTAGAGACGGGCTTCATTGTGTTAGCCAGGATGGTCTCGATCTCCTGAACTTGTGATCTGCCCACCTCAGTCTCCCAAAGTGCTGGGATTACAGGCGTGAATCACTGTGCCCAGCCCACAAACGATGTTTATGACAATTATGTAGCAACATAGGGGGTACTTAGTTCAGAAATAACACTGAATGGAAACAAGGCATGTTGGGAGTTCACTAAAATCATCTTAACAACTCCTTTCTCCAGAAATTCATTTTAGCTAAAGAAGCCTCTGATGTGAAGAGGGTCTGAAATAGTGAAAATACAGCACTTCAAACTTCAACATACTTGCACTGTTGTCATGACGGCTTGGTCTCCGTGGGGGTCCCAGGATGCTGGGGAATCCTCTTCGCTTCCCTTTTTCTTCCCCTTCTTTATCTTTCTTCATACTTTGCTAGAGTCGAAGTACAAAAAATAAGAGATATGTAACAGAGTAAATTGCTTTTGCGATTTTCATAGTGTAATGCTAATGCTTAGTTCAAAGAAATTGTTAAATGTAAATGAAACCCCGTGCACGTGTGTGTGCACACACAGAGCACTCATTAAAAGTTCGCACACGGTACTGTGTACACCTCAGACTCAAGATGTTTTCTTCAAACCCTTTATCACTGACAGCTTTGGAAAATCAAAGGGTAGTTTTATAGCACATTTACCAGGAACTTATTCTAAACAATTCATTCATCCATTCAACAAATATTTACTAAGTATAACTATTAGTAACTATTTTACTAATAGTTGAGAATACAATAATAAAGAAGGTCCTTGTACTCATACAGCTTTACAATCTAGTAAACACTAAACAAAAACACAAATAATTACAAACTGAGAGATTCCTCTACTGCCATTAAAGATGTTCATGACAACAATTATGTAGCAACACAGGGGGTATTTAGTTCAGGCAAAGTAAAAGAAAAGTATAAGGCATGAACAGAATCAGAAATAGCACTCTTTCTAAACTGCTAATTTCACTTTTCACATTGTCTAGTAATAGTTTACACATCTGGATTTCTCTCTAGATTTTGAGCTTCTTGAGAACAGAGATAGTATCTTATTAATGTTTGTATGACTAGCATTAATTGGCTGATTAAGTAAATACTAAGACAATGGAAGACACTGCACCCAAACGTAAAGAAGCCCTGAGGTCTGAACACACTATTACATTATTTCAGTCTCACCTTGATTTTGGGAAGAAATCCAATACGACCCCGTTTGTGCTCCAAATTTCGAGGCTCTTTCACTTTTACTCCCAAATGCTTCATATACATGAGAATAACATACTGCATGGTGGAACTGGAGGAGAAAGGATGAAGTAAAATTAAGACTTCTGAGAAGGGAGGGCTGGTAGAATAAAGACATCAAATGATTTCCAAAACCCCAAGGTCAGACTTACTGAAATGAATCAAACAAAAACTAAAGAACTATCTAGTCATGGCACAGAGAAGAGAATTCTACTCAGGACAGCAGGAGAGTATTAGTCAAATAACATACAAGCCACCAGAGGGAGACCACAAACTGTATTTGTAAATTAAAAGAAATAAATTGTAATTTAGGGCCGAAAGGAAAAAACATAGCTTCTTTTTTTCTTAAAATTCTATGAAAAAAAAGTTATGTTACCTCTTATCTTCCTCTACAGCCTGAGCAGTCATCCTAAAAAAAAAAAAAAAAGTTTAAAAATGAAATATGAAAGTTTAATTAACTTATTTTTTTGAGACAGAGTCTCACTCTGCCACCCAGGCTGGAGTGCAATGGCATGATCCTGGCTCACTGCAACCTCCAACTCCCAGGTGCAAGTGATTCTCGTGCCTCAGCCTCCTGAGTAGCTGGGATTACAGGAGTGCGCCACCATGCCTGGCTAATTCTTGGGTTTTTAGTAGAGATGGGGTTTCACCATGTTGGCCAGCCTGGTCTCGAACTCTTGGCCTTAAGTAATCTGCCCACTCAGCCTCCCAAAGTGCTGGGATTACAGGTGTGAGCCACCATGCCTGGCCTTAAAAATTGTTATTAACTCAGACACCTGAAATAACAGAACAGAGTCAAATGCTTTGGGCCACACCCTAGAATAAAATACCAAAAGAACCCTGATCCCCTAAAGAACCATATCTGTTTCACCCTCATGTCCCCAACTGTATATGTTTCATGGCAAGAAATATTTCCAAGGCCTATACATTAAAAATAATTAATCAACCTGTTTTTGATCACTGATTAAAAGTTTTAGAGTTACCCATTTACCAAGACCCAGAAAAAGGAACACAAGAAATTTACCTAAAATAAAACATCAGAAAAAAGAAAAAAAAATTTCAGTTTCTCAAGTACTGTGACAAAATAAATGGCTCCACATACACAATCTGATAGCTTTGCTAAACTTGCCCAAAGGGTACTTCAAGCGTAAGTAGCATCTCAGTAGAGAGGGCATTTCCACATATACTTCTATTACTTACAATACTTCTTCAATTTTGGCAACAATCTGTTCTGCACATGTCCGCTCCTTCTCCAAAGTCAACCGGTCCTTGTCTCGCTCTGCATCAAGTTTAGTCAGCTCGCTTTCAGCCAAGGTCAGTCCCATACTACGTTTCTGCCTAAAGGGAATAGAAAAGTTTCCTGAGGTAGCCTAAAGAAAAACTACCTCGCTCTGGGGACGTTTCATCACAGTCTCCATAGCTACGATTCCTAGGAACAGGAAAAATGTCACTTTTCCACTTACGAGTCCATGTCATCTAGGATACCAGAGGAAAAAATTCTAGAAGCAATGACTCCAAGAACACATACAATATCTTAAAGGAACACACTTAGCACAGACACAGCCCTGAGCTCAGATCCTGAAGGTGCCTGGAATGGAGAGTCTGGACTCTTAGTTCCACTCTAACCCTTTGGCTCCAGATGTTCACTATGTTTTAATAACAATAAGACTATATGGTTTATCTAGTGCTAAGCTAAGTATTTAAAGTGTAACTTTTTCTTACCTAAAAAAATTAATTTAGAATAATCATATAAAATTCTATCTACCACTAAGCTTACCGAAAATCTTCTAAGTGCCTTTGAACCTCTGGATGGACTCGTTCTTGCATAGTTTGGATATAGTGGCGATGCAGATCCTCAGGAATGAGTTCAGGTCTTCTCTTTTCTTCATAAATGAAAGGAATTATGTTATCTAAAGGTATGTTGTGGGCAACATACAATTGGCAACATATTAATGCTATTTTGTATAAATTTAAGTTGAAATTTGCCAAAGAGAAGTTCTTCAGGGCAGTTTGTATATTTCATCCCAGAATTCTGATTTCATTTACTCTTTTATTTATTATTATTTTTTTGAAACAGAGTTTTGCTCGTCACCCAGGCTGGAGTGTTAATGGCGTGATCTCGGCTCACTGCAACCTCTGCCTCCTATGTTCAAGCAATTCTCCTGCCTCAGTCTCCCAAGTAGCTGGGATTACAGGCATGCACCATCATGCCAGCTAATTTTTGTATTTTCAATAGAAACGGGGTTTCACCATGTTGGCGAGGCTGGTCTCGAACTCCTGACCTCAGATAATCCACCCACCTTGGCCTTCCAAAGTGCTGGGATTACAGGCATGAGCCACTAAGCCTGGCCTCATTTATTCTTCAATGTATTATAGACTCTTTTTCTATTGTGATTCAGGTGATCAACTAGTCACCATGTGACAGACAAAACCTTTACAGATGAGCTGAGCTACGTATCTATTAAGATGTAATTCTCCACGATGTCAGTGCTCCAAGCTTACCTAGATCTGCAGATATTTCATCAGGAACAGAAACTTTCAGGTGCTAAAATGAAATGCAAACAAAAGGTGTAACAACACCAAAGATATTTCAAGATGTACATAAGTACTTGTGTAAAGTAAGGGGATACAACTTGGATACCCACTCTACAAGCATAATCAAGTACAAGCTCATTTATTCATTCATGTTTCACAGCACCAGAACATTCTATTATTTAAACTTGAAAATAAGCCCTTTTCCCAAGGATCATGCTATAAAGGAAATGTCTACAGTCGTTTAGCTAGGTGACTGAATGCTTCTGTGACACACTTACCCTAATGAATATACTGGCTTTGGCTTCCTAGAATCATTAGTCAATATAATCAGTTATACATCATTTAGATCAATATAGGTAAAACCTAAATTATGTATATATTATCATATGAAAAACGTACTCACATATAGCCATGATTTTTCTTTCCTATATTTGAGATGCTCATTCTGAAGACCAATAATATTCCTAATCGTTTTCCTACGTAAAGTTTAAGAACCCTCACAATGTCACACTCCCAGTGAGAAAATATTGAGTTTTTAGAGTTTTAAATCTCCAGTAGCAATCTATAGTTCTTCCTACTGAACCAAATAAGGTGACTGTCTTAGAATTTACTTATTCCTAGCTAGGACTTTCCCCATAATACTTGCATAATAATTACCAGACTGTTGTTTTCCCCCAACCCCTAACTACCGGAAGGGAAAACTTTATTATTTTGCATTAAGAGAAAAGATCTTAACCTCTTCCTGCTTATTTTGTATTGTATACCTATTTAAGTCATATAATTTCAGAATTTAAACAAGTCCTATGAGATCTGAAGTTTTAAATTTGAAAATAAGTCACTGCTAAAAATTGTAAGATCCCTTTATATTCATTTGAAGAAAAGTGAAATGGATTTTAAAACTTCCTCTTTGACAGGCAGTAGCTCAAGTCAACTTTCTTAAAAGCATTTCTAGCTCAAGTGCAAAAAAGTAATAAAAGCTCATTTGTGTATGATGGTGTTTATATGAAATAAATGTGAGCGGTAGCATAAAAGTATAATTAGCAAATCAAAGTGTAAGGATTCTTCTTATACTTTAATATTGATATACAGATCATGAGTAGCAAAATATAAAGTTTTGACTTAGCTTGGTGCCCTCTTAAGAAATGCAAAATTCAAACATACTTCAATATATTGTCATTTTTTAGGAAAGTAAATTATTTTAATAAAAATAATACAATATTTTAAACAATGGGAGTATGATCAGAACTCTAACTCATTTAACCATACCTAAATGACCCCACTATGTCCCAGGAACTGTTCAGTGTTAGGCACACAGCAGTGAACAAACAGAACAAAAATATCTGGCCTAATAAAGCTTATATTCAGGTAGGAGAGTAAGAATATAGTCATCCCTTGATATACACATGGGGTATTGGTTCTAGGAACCTCCAAGGATACTAAAATCAGCAAACTCTCAAGTCCCTTATACAAAATGGCATTGTATTTGCATATACCCTATGCACATCCTGCTGTATACTTTAAATCTCTAGATTACTTATAATACCTAATACAATGTAAATGCTATGCAAATAGTTGTTATACTGTATTTTAAAAAATTTGTTTCATTTTTTATTGTGGTATTGGCTTTTGTTTTTTTCCTTGAATATTTCCAACCATGGTTGTTTGAATCCGTGGAAGCTGCATGTACAGAACACTGATTGTATAAACTAACTAACTAAATAAATAAAAGTTCTATGGATAAAAATAACAGAAAAAGTGACAGAAAGTGAAAGGTTGAGATTTTAAGTAGGTTGGTTAGGAAAGTCACTGAGTAGGTAATTGAATGTGAAAGTGTATAGACAATTTTGTAAAGGAATACAAAGAAAATGGGACAGGAGCTGGAGGGAGAAGTAGAGCCAATATGTTTGTGTGTTCGTTTTTAGAAAGGGAAAATAACAATGTTTGCACACTGATGTGAATAATTATCTGTAGAAAATACAAAACCGATGATGCAGGAGAAGCGAGGATAATTGTTAAAGTAAGGTCTTTGAGTAGGTATAAGGAAATACACTGTAAACTGGGGCAGAGCTGGCCTTAGATAAAAGATGGAGAATCGAGGCCAGGTGCAGTGGCTCATGCCTGTAATCGCAGCACTTTGAGAGGATGAAGCAGGCAGATTGCTTGAGCCTAGGAGTTCAAGACCAGCCTGGGCAATATGGCAAAACCCCATCTCTACAAAGTACAAAAATTATCCAGGCATGGTGGTGTGCACATGTAGTCCCAGCTACTTGGGAGGCTGAAGCAGGAGGATCACTTGAGCCCAGAAGACAGAGGCTACAGTGAGGGGCAATTGTGCCATTGTACTCCAGCCTGAGCAACAGAGCAAGACTCTGTCTCAAAAAAAGAAAAAAAAGAAAAGAAAAAAAAGATGAACAATCACTCCATAGCATCAGGAGAAAGAGTAGAGTACATGGTATGGTATAATGGAGGCAGATGATACATCTGGTAGAAGTTCTCTTCTATATACTTTAAATTTCTGAGAGAAACAACAAGGTCAAAGTTATCAGCTGAGAAAGGACTAGGGAAAGGAAGAGATGGAGGTTTTAGCGGGGAAAAGGTATGAAGCAGTCATCTAGGGGAACTGCAAATGTGAAAGGACTAGGGACCTGCGGCATGATCATCCAGGATGCATTAAGGGCTAGGTGCTATTTACCTGTAACAAGACTAACAATGAAACTTACTACTTTAAAAATCTTATTAACACTTTCAATGACAAAGTAAAACATTATCAGCATTTATTTCAGTGTAAGCATAATCTTTTCTGCTACTTTTTAGTAAAAATTATGCCTCTAAACTTCAAAGAGGCCACCCAGAGTTCAGTTATTCAAGTATTATTCCTTGGGTCTTAATATATATGTAATATCATATGTATTCCCTTCATTTCCTTACTCTAATTGTACACATGCAAAAAAAACACAAATATATACATATGTGTGTGTGTATATATATCCCCTAAAACCTACTGTGAGAATTCACATGCCTAAACTAATTTAGAAATGATAAAAAAACAGTTTAGAGTTATCAATAATTGAAATATAATACAGGTGTGAGAAAGCACAATAAAATCCAAAAACATAGGAGGGAAGATTGGAAGCAGGAGGCCAATAATTCCATGTACTAAGGCAAAGATTACAACATTAACTTGGCAACTTACTGCTGATCGATCTAGAAAGAACTGATGAAACTCAAGGAAGATGCGACGAGTTTCCTTGGAATTGGTATGTTTATACAAGTCTGAATAGAGATAACAGAGCTGTAGTGGAGACAGGAATGAAAAAGACAAAATGAGGAACCATGAAAAATGTAATTTGCTAGGTCATCATTGAGTAAGAATGTTTGGAACAGGTAGGTTACCATAAACAATGTAGTTATTACTATATAATCAAGTGTTTAAAAAATAATGTTTTAATTATCTTTCATATCTGCCTTTATACGGAAAACTGAAAGAAGTCTGCCCACTCATCATATAGATAGGAAAAGTTCTATGGCATATGAATCAACAGAAGAACTCTGAATCTGCTAGATTGTAAAATATATTACCAAAGTTGCAGGGTCAAATTGTGAAACTACATGGTGTAAGAAAACAGCCAAATGAGCCGGGCGAGATTTTAGTAATTCAATGCTCTGGAAACAGCTGCACTGTCCATTGATCTAGAGGAAGAAATGATTATGCATCAGTAACTCCAACATACAAATACTAAATGCAAAGTAGGCTCAATTGAACATAGCTATCCAAATTTCACTTTGATCTCCCTATAAAAAATTCAAGATTTAAAAAATTTCACTAAAATTTATTAGCAACAGAAGCTATGGAATCTCTTTCTCTGAACATTAACCATCTCTTGGGGATAGGTCAGAAGAAAGATCACTTTGGGAGAATGGAAATTTAGGAGATGATTACCAAGTAGCTCGGATGTATACAAATCAGTATGTAAAAAACAGTCTAACAACATTTCTAGAAATGTAGTGAAAGGCTTTTTGCCCAATCATAAAATAGTTGTTTATTCTTTTCTTCTGGGCTAATTGCAGAAAGGGTGGGAAATGAAGTTGTATGATTTTAAGTAAGATAAATCCTAGAATATTTGTATAATCCCTAAATATACTGAACACGGAAAACAATAATAATGTAAACCAGCATCTCAATTTTCATATTCCCAAATCATTCTAAAGACCAGCATTACCCAACTATCAAACCAGACAAACATATTACAAAAAGAAAAACTATACATCAATATACCTCATCAACAAAGATGTAAAAAATCCTCAGTAAAATAATGGCAAATTGAAACCGACAATATATCAAAGGGATAATACATCATAACCTACTGGGGTTCATTCCAGGAATGTGAGACTAGTTTAATATTCTAATATCAATCAATGTAACTTACCATATTAACAATCAGAAAAACTACATAATCTCATTCAACAAAATTCAACATCCAGTCATGATAAAAACGCTCAGCAAACCAGGAGTACTCCTTAACCTAGTAACCTTTAACCTTATAAAGAGCCTCTAAAAAATACTTATAGCTAACATCATACCTAATGATGAAAGGCTGTTTTCTCCCTAAGATCAAGAATAAGGCAAGCATGTCTTGTCACTCTAATTCAATCTCATGCTAGAAGTCCTACCAATGCAATAAAGCCAAGAACAAGAAATAAAAGATAAACAGCTTGAAAATAAGGAAATAAAAACTATACACAACATGTTTATCTATGTAGAAAACTCCAAAAGATTTATTTTTAAAAGCACCAAGAAATAATAAGTGAATTTAGCAAGATCACAAGATACAAGGACAAGAATCTAGCTAATCATACTCCTTTATACCACCAATGAACTGAGATGTGAAATTAAAAAAAAAAAAATACTATTTTAAGAAACACACTCAACCCCAAAGAAATGAAGTACTTAAATATAAATTAATGGCCTCTCACTGGCTTTAAAAGCAAGGTCATTTCTATTGTTCAAAGCTAAAATAAGCAATTAACCCAAGGAGCTACTGGTTCTAAGATTTAGCTTCAAATCCTTACAAATGTTATCTTAATCTCCACAAAGTGTTCATTTTTGCAACAAATCAGACATTGCAGAAAAGTAATAATTTATTTTTTAGAAAGAAAAAAGTCATCACCTGTTCATGTTCAGTACCAAAATCATCATCTTCTGCTCCAATAATATGAGGTGCTATACGGGTTGAGGGACTTCCGACAAGTGATTGAGTGTCCTGGCAACATTCAGGGAAAAGACACAGAAAAATTATCTGGTGGTCAAATTTAGAAAAAGAATAAAGCCAACCCATCAAAAAGACATGATTCACTTAAATGGTGAGATTTCGTTTTATTTCCGTTGAAGTACTTTATTTTCAAAGTAGGGGTTCACAAATTCTCAAGGCCATGAATCACTCTGGCAGAGAAAATGACCACAACAACGGTTTTTTTTTGGGTGCGGGAAAAACCAGTTCCCTTGGAAACAGGAAATATCCTTTGCTCACTATACACTTGGTTGTCTGACTCTAACACTTTCTGTACACTTTTGTAACTTCTTTTATTAATTCACACATACTTAGAACTTCTTACAGAAAAAAATAAAGTTGGGCTTACATAAATGGTTACAATTAAAAAATTAAAGAAAAAGTGAATGAAGACAATAGGACAAAGGAAAAATAAGAGCAGAAATGATAATACAAAGTTAGAAGAGAGGTTAATATATCTGAGAAGTACTAACCCAAGATTTCCATTAATGATACATAATTGAAGGCTATCATCGAACTCTATTTTTTCATTTTTAATTAATTTTCATAAATGTATAATTCAGGGTTTCTCAACTGTGGCACTGTTAATATTTTGGGCCAGAGAGTTCTTTGTTGTAGGGACTAGCCTGTGCATTCTAAGACGTTTTGCAGCATCCCTGACCTCTGTGGGCCCACCAGATGCCAACTGCAGCCTCAAAGCCCTAGACATCAAAAATGTTTCCAGACATCTGTCAAATATCCATGGAGGCACAATCATTCTTGGTTGAAAAATCACTGATAAAATACTCTAAAATCATCAAGTAATCTCACAAACACTGCTACAGAAACAAAGATACCAAAATTCTAAGAATAAACTGTAGATTGGCAGATAGTTCCCCATGCAATAGCTCCTCCATTTGTCAACTCACAAAGTTGGATTCAGCACAAAAACGGCAGTACAGAGGCATTAATATATAAAATAATAAACATCGGTGCTGGGCATAGTAGCTCAGGCCTGTAATCTCAGCACTTTGGGAGGTCAAGGAGGGAGGATCACTTGAGGCTAGGATTTTGAAACCAGCCTGGGAAAAACAAAGAGATCCACTCTAAAAAAAGCCAAAATAAATTAGCCAGGCATGGTGGCATGTGTCTATAGTCTTAGCTACCTGGGAGACTAAAGTGGGTGGACAGTTTGAGCCCAGGAGTTTGAGGTTACAGTTAACCTCTGTACTGCAGCTTGGGTGACAGAGTAAGACCCTGTCTCATTCATACATATATACATAAACACAAATATATGCATACATAAATACATACATACATACAGGATGTTTGAAGACCATAAGTACTAAAATTAAAGACCATATAGCAATGAGGAATAAAAATTTTGGAAGAAATAGGAAAAAAATGAGTTCGGCTTAAATCTGACAGCAGTTTAACATTGCAAGATCTGGATGGAGTTCAGCAAAGAAAGGTGGGCCTATGATTTGAGAGTCATGTGTACAGCAGTTATAGCAGTTATAGCTGAAGCTATATAAACAGATCCACAAGTTTTAAACTGAGTGAATAATAAGTATATGTAGTTTTTCCTCCTTGTATTGCAACACTACATATTGAGTCTCCTAAACACATTCTGCCTTTTAATAACTCTTATTATTTTCTTTAACCTCAAGGCTTTAATAATTCCAAAAAAAAGAAATCAGGTGAAACTGGCTGGGCACTGTGGCTCATGCCTATAATCCCAGCACTTTGGGAGGCTGAGGCGGGTGGATCACCTGAGGTCAGGAGTTTGAGACCAGCCTGGCCAACATGGCGAAATCCCTCTCTACAAAAAGAAAAAAAAAGAAAAAGAAATCAGGTGAAACAACATAAATTAGTTTAGAGCAGTAGTCAATTTTGATTTTATAATGATTTAATGTCTGATTTTTCGATAGTCCTTATGTTGCTGACAATAAAAACATTACAAAATGCTGTTGTATCTTTTACTCCACAACTGTAAACAAATCTAATTAGAAAATAAAATGAGAATGCTTAAAAGCATGCAATTAAGAATATGTAAGATCGAGCAAGTCTACTTCTTGATAAACACCCACAAAAACTGAAGGCAAGGCAGCATATTCACAATAGCCAAAAAGTGGAAACAATCTAAGTACCCACTGACAGACAGATAAACAAAACGTGGTATATATACATGTCATGGAATATGATTTGGTCTCAAAAAGGAAAGAAATTCTGATACATGCTACAACATGGATGAAAGCTGAAGACATATGCTAAGTGAGAGAAGTCAGTCATGAAAGGATAAACATTGTATCATTCTTTTTACCTGAGTATCTAAAGTAGTCAAATTCATAGAGACAGAAAGTAGAATGGTGGCTGCCAGGGGCCGGGGGAAGGGGGAAATGTAGATCTAGTGTTTACTGGGTACCAAGTTGCAGTTGGAGAAGATGGTTGGCAGTGATGGTCGCACAACAATGTGAATATACTTAATGCCACTGTACACTTAAAAATGGTTAAACTAGTACATTTTATGTTACCACCACGACAAATACTAAGAACCTAATAATACTTACTAATCATGGAATAGCTCTTGACTTATTCAAATCTTTATTAAGTTTCTTTAATAAATTTAATTTTTTTCTCCAAAAAATAAAAAATAAAATATGTAAACATCAGATGTGTCTATATCATACTTTAAGTATAAGGAAAGCTAAAGACAGCACTATCATTGCATGGATTTCATACTCACAGTGTCCTGAATTGTTTCACTTTTCTCTGGGTTTTCCTCTAGATAAATCCTCTCTTTGGGGCCACTCTTGGGACTCTAATAAAAAAAAACAAGATCTTCAGTTCATTTCAATAGGCACACCAAAAGGAGAAGAGGGAAAAAAGTGTGAAAAAAAATTGCTCTGAATTTCATATTTGTATTTACAACTACTAAATATCTTTCATAAAATACTTGGTTCTGCTACCTTTTCTTTACTTCGACAAGTCACTTTTTCTCTCACCTTTTCAGTTTTATGTTGATAAACAACACAGAGTCAACAAAACAATTTTACCTAATCTCCAGGCCTGGAGGTTACTTTCTACCAAATTACTAGATATATTGCATACCTCAAACTCATTATGTCAAAATCAAACTCTTTTTTTTTTTTTGGAGATGGAGTCTCGCTCTGTCACCCAGGCTGGAGTGCAGTGGCATGATCTCGACTCCCTGCAAGCTCCGCCTCCCAGGTTCACGCTATTCTCCTGCCTCAGCCTCCCAAGTAGCTGGGACTACAGGCACCCACCACCATGCCCAAATAATTTTTTGTATTTTTAGTAGAGACAGGGTTTCACTGTGTTAGCCAGGATGGTCTCGATCTCCTGACCTCATAATTCGCCCGCCTTGGCCTCCCAAAGTGCTAGGATTACAGGTGTGAGCCACCGTGCCCGGCCAAAATCAAACTCTCTTTATTTATCTTCCTTAACCCTTACCTTCTCAAACTATCCTTTCTATTCAAGTTAAAAGCATTTTGCCCTACTTATGAGTACAATTAAGCTTCTACTATTCTGTTACTCCCTTCATGTGAAAGGTGGATTTTAATACATTTATATGGTATTATATAATACCTAATACGTTTGTTCTTCAGTATTTGTGGGGGAATGGTTGCTCAAGTCCCTGATATAAAATGGTACAGTATTTGCATATAACCTATGCAAATCTTCTGTGTATTTTAAATCATCTCTAGATTACTTATAATACCTGATACAGTGTAAATGCTGTACAAATAGCTGTCACACTGTATTGTCTAGGGGATAATGACTAGGAAAAAAGTCTGTGCATATTCAGTACAGATGCATTTCTATTCCTGAATATTGTGATCCACGGTTGGCTGAATCCACAGATGCTGCCCACAAATACTGAGAATGGACTGTATAAAATATAAACCATATGGGACGCAGAAACTCACTTTGGGGAGATGAGGAACACCCCAAAGCAATGGGAGACATTCTTTAGAGCAACCAAAAATGAGGAAGCAGAGACCTAACGAATGCCAACAGGGAAGATACATTTTACCTATGCATGTACCCAGACATCTTGGTGGTATCACAAGATATTTCTGCCACCAAGAGAAAACAGCAGTTTCAAATGTATGCCCCACCTTGGAGAAATGAATGACTTTCAGGTCTTGGACAAGATATATAAAAGATTAGAATAATTCTGTCACAAAAATCAAGAAAGCTATTAAAGATATTGGAGGGGCATGTCAAAAGAACACAGGAGAAAATTTGAGAGGGTTCCCACCAACAAAAAAAAAAAGAGTAACTCATACGGAAATCCGTGAGTTCAAAATATTACACACATACCCTTCCCACTTGTCACCTTTGGAGTTTGTAAGAGTATCATCTCTCCTGAAAAGACTCTTCTGAAAAGAATCAAGGGAAGTATTTACCCTACATTTTCTGCATAAGCTATATTTTAGGGTAACCTATTAGCTAGTAAGAGAAATCATTTCTTGTAACACAACTCCGTGTAATAAATACAGAAATAATGACAAAATTATAATAATATCCTTTTGAAACTCAGAATTAAACAATGGATCTAGGCATTCTGATCACGAATGGCATGTGAAAACATTTCATAAAAGCTATTTGATAGGGAACATTATAATGAAGGAAATCATGCTGACATCACCTAAACACCTTAAGCTTACAACCACAGTAAGACAGTCATTCACATCCTGATGTGATATAACGAGATGTACACAATATCATCCATGAATTATTCCAAATAACAACTATCAAACCTAATGTGACCAAGACTTGTAGATTTAACTGGGAGTTTTCAGAAAATCTAGATAAAGTAACATGTCATACGACACCATGAAAATATAATTAGAAAATGGGCTGTTTTACTGAACATATGACCCAATTTCTTTAACAACAACAAAAAAAAAATGGCCAAGGAAAACAAAGAAGGAAACTATTATAAATTATAAAGACTTAAAATGACTTATCAACCAATGGCAATATGAAAGCCTTGACTGGATCCTGAATCAAATAAACTGTAAAAAGATCATTATAAAACAAGGTAATAAAACTGTGTATTGAGAAAATATTAATTCTTAGGATTTAATAAGAATATTATAGCTATATTTTAAAAACTTATCTCTTAGAGAGAGACACATTATTAAACTAATGCCTTGGATTTACTTTAATCCAGTGTCTCGAGGATGTAAGGAATAGCGGGTACAAACAAAACTGCTAAGGCTAGTTCTCAGGGACCTGAGGAGGATTATGTTAGTCTTTACTGTTGAACATGTTTAAAAATTTTCCAAGATAAATAGTTTTTCAAAAATATCACTCACAAACTGAAAAATCAAAAGGAGAGATGCTCTGAATTTTAGATGATGATTTGTTATCAAGTTGCTTCTCTTGTGAGAACTGGGTATCAGGGCATTCTTTAATGCCTTCTCCAAGGTAAGCAAAAGTAGGAACTTTCACAAAACCACCAGGAAATTATTTTATAAAAATGAGGAGACAATGAAAAAATTAAAAGAACTGATTCAAAAGATAAAATGTAAAACAGTAATTCAAAGTACTGTTAAAACAACAACAACAACAACAACAAAAGCAGACTGATTCCTCCATACTTACAACACAATTGAAACAAACATGGAAATCCATAAGCTAAAAGCAACACATCTTTAGTCTCAAATGGACACTTGTAGAAATTAAACCTGTGTGTTACGTGTTCACAAGACAGCCTAGCTTGGACTTTATCATTTCTCACTTGGATTTCCATGATATTCAGTTATTTATTTGGCCTCAGTTTCCTCATCAATGAAATGGTGATACTGTTTTTTTAAGATTATTATGAGTGTTAAAAAAGAGTATCTGTAAAGCATTGGATACAACCTCTGGCACAAAGTAGTTATTGAATAAATGCTAACTATTATCCATTCAGCACACATTTATTAAAGTTCCTATTAAGCCAAGCAGTCTTCTTTTCCTACAGATCTCCCTCTTTACTCCAAATTATTTTCCCCAGATATGTTTCTGATGGTGCCTGTCTTCTGCATGCAAAATAAAGTCCACTTTATTAATTGATTTCGTTTATTCAAATACTAAGTATCAATTACATGTCAAACAGTCTTAATTGACCGGAATGCCTATTTCTATACTCAACAATTCACTCTTTTTTTTACCCACCCCTGAGACGGAGTCTTGCTTTGTCAACCAGGCTGGAGTGCAATGGCGCGATCTTGGCTCACTGCAACCTCCGCCTACCTGGTTCAAGCAATTCTCCTGCCTCAGACTCCAGAGCAGCTGAGATTACAGGCATGTGCCATCACACCCAGCTAATTTTTTTTGTATTTTTAGTAGAGACAGGGTTTCACTACGTTGGCCAGGCTGGTTTTGAACTCCTGACCTTGTGACTGGCCTGCCTCAGCCTCCCAAAGTGCTGGGATTACAGGCGTGATCCACTGCGCCCAGCCGACAACTCGCTCTTTTATAAGATTATATTTCTAAGTCACATGTTTTATTGCAACATTCCTCTAAATACAAGATAAAATTCAAATTTCTCATTTGTATCATTTGCTCTGAATGCCTACAATTTGCTACACTTTGGAAACATAAAGTCAGACAAGACAGTCCCTCTGCTCTCAAGGAACTTCCCATCTCATGGTAGGGACAAGCCATGAAAACAGAGAGGAGACGCGGCAGTAAAACAAAAAGAAGAGTACGAGAAGCATTCCCAAAAGCAGTATGTACTGCTAGAAAAAGCTGAAGCCCTTTATAACCTGGACTCATGATTTGGCTTCTAAGATAATCTCTAGCCATTTCATCTATAACCCTAATACACCAGGTTGCCCTAAAATTTTCACTGCTCTCTCAAAATGTTTTGCATTTTCATACCTCAGTGCTCTTGTTTATATTTAGATTACTGGTATTTTGGAGCTAGGCAGAAGTAGATTACCTATTGCCTGAATAAGTGTGGAAAGTTAACTCCTTTTGTTAAAGTTAATTAACTCAATTTTTTCTTTTGTAAAGTTACAGTAACAACGGTACTATTTCATAAGGCTGTTCTGAGAATTAACTAAGGAACATAAAACACATCACTGTGTATGCGATATATACCCAACAAATATTAGCTATTACCATTTTTTCCTTGAGCCCAAACTGAAATTTTCCATTAAAACCTTTAGCTAACCCAATCACGAGACTCCTATCACCATCTTTCAAAAATAAATAAATAAGTAAATAAAAACCCACAAATCCTCAGTTTGTTTTTTGGATGAGGAACTGGGTCATTGGGCCTAAGCCTCAAGAGACAGCCTGACTTATGGCTTAGACCATGGATTCCTTTTTAAAAAACAACAAAACAAAACAACCCCCATCCCAACAACCTTCAATAAGAGAGAAACTTCACATTGTTAAATAGTAGATGTGTGTATATGTAACAGAAGTCCCAAGAAGTGACATCTCTTCTATAGGCAAAGCACTGTATTTCCTATTTTTTTTTAAAGAAATATAACCCACAAAATTGATTTCATGACCCACAATTACAAAACATTCGTTCAGACAACTTCCCTCATCACTTTTAAAGAGGGTGATCTACATGTAAGTCATTATTCCTATCACTGCATACAATTTAGAAAGTATTGTTGAGTAAATAATACTGAACTTAGCTTTTAAGTATTCATATGTCTATGGTGCTACATCATATTCAGCTTAAAATGTTTTATTATCGTCTTAACAGATACTCATGTTCATCTGGCAGTTTCTGGGTTAATCAAGAAAGTGCTGTTACTAAACCTGGGCTATTAACTGAAGCCTATCTAACAGGACTAAGGTTTTTCCTCTTGGTAATGGCAAAGTGCCCCATGATTCAAGACTGAGTCACTCTGACCACAAATGGAATATTAACATGCTCTTAAAGATATCAACAGTTGGTCTCTCGGTTCAGTAAGAATGCACTGGCATTAGTAACTTCTCTACCCACGAACAAGAAGCCTGCTGGGAAATTCCATCCCTGTAAAAGAAACAGTTGGCAATGGGTGTTCAAGGGAAAAAGTGAACTCTGGAATTAAAAGCTTATATACAACAGTATCCAGATTTCTGTTTATCAAATTGGTATATTAAAAATGGGGATGGTAAAAAGTGCTAAGACACCTCTAACTCACGTCACTTAAAATCAAATCTAGAAAGGGGCTGTAAAGAAGAATACAGAAGAAAAAAGATTTAGAACACTGAATACTTACATCTGCATTGTCACTACTGGGCCGAGAAGCATCTCCACTGCTACAGTCAGTCCTGCCCAGGCCATCTCCAGGATCTGTTTCTGCCTCACTGACTGTTAGGGTGTCACCTAAAGGTCTGGAGGGTGTAACTACAGCTCCATCCTAAAACAGATTAAAGAAAAACACACTCACACAAACACATAAAAGAAAACTTTCATTACTTGCTGCATAAAGAAATAGAGTGGTACTACAATCTACATGGAGACTGCTAAAAGTTGGACATTCTGATGTGCTCAAGTATGGTTAAAATTCTACAAGTAAAATCCATAAATAACTACTAATTCTGGGATTCTAAAATGGCATGACCTTAAAGACAGGGCAAGTGATATTCTGGTAAAAAGAATATAAGTTCAAACTTACAAATATAGCAAAAAGGTAAAATGTTTTGTTAATTGATATTGTCTGCCCATTAATTAAGGTTATTACCCTACAGTTTCTTGTTAACTACCTTCCAATGCTTCAGAGTGTCAATCAATGGTCAATTCTGGGACATAATGCTATAACATAAATTATTACAAGCATTTAGATCAGGTTATAAGCATTTATTTATTTATATAATTTGAGACGGAGTCTTGTTCTGTCACCCAGCCTGGAGCGCAGTGGCAGGATCTTGGCTCACTGCAACCTCCGCCTCCATGGTTCAAGCCATTCTCCTCCCTCAGCCTCCCGAGTAGCTGGGATTACAGGCACGCACCACCAAACTTGGCTAATTTTTTTATTTTTAGTAGAGTCGGAGTTTCACTATGTTGGCCAGGATGGTCTCAAACTCCTGACTTCAGATGATCTGCCCGTCTTGGCCTCCCAAAGTGCTGCGATTACACATGTGAACCACGCACGCCTGGCCAGCTTATAAAGATTTAGATAGCTGCCCAAACAGGGTAGGAATATTGTATTTGTCTAGTAATAACATAAAACTGTCAACATTACTGAGGTGTAACACGCAAAATGTGACATAGCTAGTGGGACTGAAAGTAATGAAAAAAAATGGAATGAAAAGTATACTAAACTAGGATGTCAGGGGAGCTTACATACTGTATGGTCTTGTATAGATGATTTAAGCAGTTTAGACCCTAGGTTTCTCAACTATGTATTTTTTAATCAAAAAGTAAGCAGATTAGGCTAGATAATCTCAAATAATTCTTTTGCGAATATGTAGCTTTCCCTTCAGACTTAACTCAGGAATAGTGATAAACAAACAGTGTTTACCTATTTTAAATGTATAGGCAATTTATCTACTTTGCTTTAAGATGAAGTACAAGGTGCTTTACATATCCCAAATCTGAATATTACAGAATGTAAGTCTGGTTAACATATAAATGCTGAGTTTTTTTTTTTTTTTTTCTTATGAGACCATTATCTCTATAGCTTATACCTATACAGCAAATTCTACTGAAATCTATTTTTAAATTACAATAAAAATATAGTCATTAAGGGTATGAATGTGCTTTTGAATCCTCAGACTGGGTTTGAATTCCAGTTCTATTACTTTTCAGCTATATGACCTCAGACAAGTAATGTAATCTCTCTAACTCTCTCTAAGTGTATATGTAAACTGGAGGAAAACAACCACAAGTCACCTCAGAGATGTTATGCAGATTAAATAAGAAAATGCTTGTCCATATATTTAGCTCAATGCCTGTCATTTTAAAATTTTAAATTCCTACTTAAAAACATATCAACTGCCATTCTGTTTTAAGATGGCAGAATGAACCACAAAAAATATAAATATATATATATATATAAATACATTTTAGTAGTTGGTCACATCAAAGCAGAAGCACTCAATTCTTTTTTACATTATTATGGAACAAAGAAATGTGATATCATGAGCAAGCAAACAATCAGACGCCCACATTTATTTTTGTTAATCATTACTTCTGTAACATCCTTAACAGGACATCCTGTTGTCCTACGCTAGAAAAATAACTTTAAAAAAGTCAACTGCAACATTCTCTGACACATTCCCAGAAGAAAATTCTCCTGCAAAAAGTTGGGTAGCACTTGTAATAGTAATGCTACCTGAGCAGAGCCTGTGGCTTTGGATAACTGCTCTTGCAGCTGAGGAATGTGTTTCTTGGCCTCTTGGATCTCTTTTAGCAATCTTTGGGCAGGTGTTCGGTTGTAATCTTCCTGCAATAACTGAAAAGTTATAAAAATATTTTCAGAATTAATTACTTATGTAAAAAAGATACAGAAATAGTCCATTCTTAATCAATAATATAACTAATGGCATTGGTTACAATACTGCTTGATTGTGACTATGATAAACAGCAATTCAACCATGCCCACTCACATTTTTACTGGCCTATACACAGCCCTACTTCTCATTTAATACCTGTAGCCGTTCCTGTTCTTTCTGTAACATTTTTCTCAGAATTTCTACTTTCTGGTTATGAACCACATTGTTTTCCTCCTAGAAAAGAAAAAGATAAAAAACAAACAACAACCAGTATAGAGAAAATGAAGCTAAAATAAATAGAGAAAATGTGACATACAAAGTTCTGCCTTGGCTCCAATTATCAATACCTATTAGGTTTTTATTTCTGGGTTATGAGGACAAACTTTTAGACACGACACTTAAAAGATAAGAAACTACAAAGAAATGTCTGCCCTTCTATTTCATCTTTACTAAACTAGATTCAAGAGAACATTAAATATTGATATTGGAGAAATTAAGTTGTCTTAATATAAGAATAGTATCTTTTACTTTCCCTCATTCGGATCTTTACTATCGATCCCCATGCATAGCTCAAACTCCCAGTACCTCTTACCTGAAATATGAAGACAGCTCCCTAATTCATCACCCATCATCCCTCCTTGTTTCACAACCCTATAATATTTTACCAAATTAGCCTTCCTATAATCCTAGGATAATCATGTACTCTTTTGCTTAAAAAGAAACAACGTTGAATGGATTCTTACTGCTTATCTAGTTACATGTAAATTAGCTTGGGAGATGTGACTTTTCAAAATAGTCAACCTACTGTTTTCAAGTTCATCTCCCACTATGTACATCCTTAACAGGCACCAACCAAACAAAAATCCTAGCTACTTCTCCACAATATTTGATGCTTTCTTGGCTCCTTCTATTTATTGTTCTTCTTCTATGTGCTTTCTCTCTCCTTTGAATCCTCATAGAACTTAGTATTTTTTTGCCCTCATAATGTCTACATTCTGCCTTGTATTATAGTTACTTGTATACTCTTGATTTAATCTCAATCAACAAAGCTTTGTTAAGCACCTTCTACATGCTAAGCAATATTTCAGATGCTGGAAACATAACAGTAAACAAAATAAACAAAAATCCCCGCCCTCCTAAAATTACACATTCTAAGATGACTATAACCTTGGACATAAGAGTACCTTAACTATATTTTTGTGGGTGGCACATTGTTTTATATATGACAGGTGTTTAATACTTGTTAAATTAAATCTGCTATGACAATATTCTAATCATTCCTATTATGTAATTTTTATATTAGTAAATCGTTTTCTAGAACCTTAAATTTAATTAGTTCATCAGCCTAATACTTGAACACTCTTAATATAAAGTAAACACATCCTTATAGGACTGAGTATTTAACTAAGAAATTTCCCCATTCTTACCCCCATGAGCACAGGACTAGTGATTCTCTCCATATTCCCAGATGCTCCAGGTGAATGAGGAGATGTCATGATGGGAGACATATGTCCAATGACTGATGGCTCTACTTCAGAGTCGGCAAGTGGAATCTGGGGCGACCCAGGTGGGCGTCCCTGAACAGTGAGAGCTACATAGGAACCAGCTTGGGGTGGGGAGATGGAAAAAGGGAAGGGAAGGAAAAGTAACATTGTCAAGAAACTTTTCATACCATTTTACTACTTAATCTTTGATAGTTCTAAAAGATCCAGTTATATAAGACTGTCCCGGCCGGGCGCGGTGGCTCAAGCCTGTAATCCCAGCACTTTGGGAGGCCGAGGCGGGTGGATCACGAGGTCAGGAGATCGAGACCATCCTGGTTAACATGGTGAAACCCCGTCTCTACTAAAAATACAAAAAACTAGCCGGGCGTGGTGGCGGGCGCCTGTAGTCCCAGCTACTTGGAGGCTGAGGCGGGAGAATGGCGTGAACCCGGGAGGCGGAGCTTGCAGTGAGCTGAGATCCGGCCACTGCACTCCAGCCTGGGTGACACAGCGAGACTCCGTCTCAAAAAAAAAAAAAAAAAAAAAAGACTGTCCCATCATCTGCTAATCATTTCTCTACAGAAAAAAAATTAATTTGTCATTTCTTTTATGATTGCCCTAAAAATCCAAAAGAATGATGCCGTTTTCAGTAGCAAGTTACTATTTGTAAGATCAGATATTACTTAAAAGCAAATAAAATTTATAACTCCAAGAATATATTTTCTTAATTTAGAGGAGAGTTAAAATCAACCATCTATTAGTGGCTATGTTTAATTAATTTCTTAAATGTAATTTTAAAAAAAACTTCTTCTTTTTTTTTAATCAGGGTCTCACTTTGTCACCCAGGCTGGAATGCAGTGGCACGATCTCAGCTCACTGCAGCCTCGACTTCCTGGGTTCAAGCGATCCTCCTCCCTCAGCCCTCACAAGCACCTGGGATTTTTTTTTTTTTTAAAGACGGGGTTTCGCCATGCTGCCCAGGCTGGTCTTAAACTCCTGAGCTCAAGTGATCCACCCACCTCAGCCTCCCAAGTTGCTAGGATTACAGATGTGAGACACGGCACCCAGCCTAGATCTTCGTATTTTAAGATGATACTAATTAGGCATGGTTTAGTGAATACGCTAGAATATAAAATGTAGTTTTAAATTAACTTTACAAAATGAGTATGACCAAAAAATATTCTACAATAACAGGGAAAAACACAATCAATGATAAGTAGTAAATTTTACTGGAAAACATTTGGAGGAATGGACAGGAATTCATTAGACCTATTATGGGAGTGAAAAATCTAGACAGCAAAAAATCACCATAATCAGGCCGAGCATGGTGGCTCATGCCTGTAATCCCAGCACTTTGGGAGGCTGAGGCGGGCGGATCACGAGGTCAGGAGATCAAGAGTAGCCTGGCTAACATGGTGAAACCCCGTCTCTACTAAAAATACAAAAAATTAGCCAGGCGTGGTAGCACATGCCTGTTGTCTCAGCTACTAGGGAGGCTGAGGCAGGAGAATCGCTTGAATCTGGGAGGCGGAAGTTGCAGTGAGCCGAGATCGTGCCACTGCACTCCAGCCTGGGTGACAGAACAAGACTCTGTCTCAAAAAAAAAAAAAAAATCACCATAATTAGAGTCACAGTAATAGATATAGCAAAACTTTCTTCTTAGACATTTCAATAGGACTTTCAAATGTATTTTACACTTGTCTCCCAATTTAACCCTCCCATGGAAATCACTATCAATTATTTCACAGTGTTTTGGCATTCTAAAAACTATTTTTGCTATGTATAATAGTCACAAGTGTTATGATTTGGAGGAATTTTACGTAGAAACACTTTCTAAGGCTCTTCAATCTTATTGCTGTCTATCAGAAAGTCATCTATTATATCTCACTTGCCTATGTACTTGCTTATAATAGCTTCCTAGCTTTTCCCTTCCTTTCTTTAGCTGTTTCTAAACTGCTCTGATTTGATATCACTTTTATTATATCCAGAATACGCATTAAAAAGTAGGACATGCAGGAACTCTGTTACACACACCCAGGCTTTAGGGATGTCAAATTTATATATGTTTTGGATATGCAAAGGTTTTTAGGATGAACTTTAAGTTTTTAGCTATGCCCTTACTATTGGATAAGTAATTTATTGCTAGAATCCCAGGATTTAATTTTTTAAGTAAAATTTATACTGGAATGAGCAAAAAATACAACCCAGAAAGCTAAAGAAATGTTTTTATACATCTCAATGGACATCAGGCATAAACTTAGTAACATAAACCATATTTATGTAGCACATAACAATTTATAAATCACATTCTCATTAAATAAGTGGTCAAATTTATTCAAGTATGGGAATCTAATTTTGATCCCTGCACTCTTTTAAAATAAAGTTAAGAACGCTGATCAAAGTGACCATTTGGAGCACTGGTACTCTGATGAAAAAGTTTAAAAATTTTCATAGTTGCTTAACATAGCAGTACAAAGGCCAAGAAAAAAGTTAGTTTATTAAATTTCTTCTGAAGATGTCCATCCACCCAATACAGAGAAATAGAATTAAATAAAACAGTAGTGATTCTGCTTGATCACAAACAATTGTCTCTTATTTCTAGTCTACTTTACTGTGGAATAATCTGATGTAGAAGATCATAAATTCTTTTTTTTACTCCTTTTTTAAAAACTTTCATTCAGTTTAAGCAGTCTCTCGCTCTCTTTTTAAGAGATACAGTAACAAATACATAAGGCCCAAACCAGGCCAGAACAAAGAAAAAGGAAGTTACATTTTAGGTGGTGGACTCCCATGTGACGTTCTTTACTACTGTTATAACTGTCATGCTATTTTCCATTCAATATGTGAAGCACTTAGAAAATATAAAATCTTGGCCAGGCGTAGTGGCGCATGCCTGTAATCCTGGCACTTTGGGAGGCTGAGGCAGGTGAGCCCAGGAGTTTGACAGCAGCCTGGGGAACATATCAAAAACCAGTGTCTACAAAAACAAAACAAAACAAAACAAGACAAAACAAAAAACAAGGTGGGAGGATCACTTAAACCCAGAAGTTGGAGGCTGTAGTGAGCTATAATTGCACCACTGCATTCTACAAGACCCTGATCCCCCGCCCCAAAAAAAGAAAAGAAAATATAAAATCTCTCTTGGAAAGCAGGTAAGGTTAAAGGGTAACAACAAAATGAAACCAAAGCCCAGGTTGGGGAAGGTGTAGCACCTAGACTTCACCTGACTCAGATTCAGATGACCCACCCCATCACCACCTGCCAGCAAAGCTCACAGGGCCACTGAACCTTCCCTTCTCCCTGTGCAGATGGGAAAACTGAGGCCCTGTGAGTGGCTGAAGCCTGGCTTGACCATACCTCACTGCCAGCTGAAGGTACATGAATTTACTTTTGACCCTGCAAGTGACGGGAGGTTAGCTGCAGACTCCCACTGCTTCCAGCCTGGTTCTCCACGGAGAACTAAGTCCACAGAGAACTAAGTCCAAGTGGGCTACTCATCCCTAAACCTGAAGATCACAAATTCTTAACCTTGAAGATTTCCAAGAGAAGATCGTTACTCTGGATTATATAATCATTTACTTATCTGAGGGAAAGTGATTGTGCTAGATGATTTTTAAAGTTTCATTTCAGTTCATCAGGCCATATGTCTGATTTCTCAACCTCCTTCCTCTCAGGTGACTCACGCATTTCTTTCGAATATATGTATTCAATATTACCAAGAATGACAGGAATATTATAATCAACCATATAAATGGAGTTGACAAAAGATAGTTATTAGTAAGTTAAGAGTTTTCACCTCAGATTTTCCTTCAACGCAGGGATCAGCAAACTCCAGCCAAGGGCCTAAACCAGGATCACACTTTCGGTAAATAAAGTTTTACTAAAGCACAGCCACAACCATTCATTTACATATTGTCTATGGCTGCTTTCATGATACAATGACAGAGTCGGTAGTAGACTATACAGTCCACACAGCCTAAATATTTACTATTTGGCCTATTACAGGAAATTTGCTGATCCTTACTTTAAGGGTTTCAGAAAACAATTGAAACTAAGAATAACATTCACCTACATCTGATTAGCTTCACCACCTCCAGATGATTTGAATGAGTCACCAGCGTTCCATTCACCTGTAAGAAAACGAAAGGAGTGTATGTCATATACATCCTATTGAGACAATGGATAAAAGGACTTCAGGAATTATCATACATAATATAACCAATTATAATATAGTAATCACATTACATTAAAATATTTATGTATCTGATTCAATATTCATTTTCACACCATGATTCTACAGGGCATATTCGGCAACAAAATGAACTTAAACATAAACCAAGGCCTTGACATACAAAACATTACAACTTATTCACCATGACAAATGACAAAACATAACATGAAAAAGATTTACAAATCCTTCATAGCAAAGGGCTCATACAAATAGAAAAGATCTCTTTGCTTTACTAAGTCATCAATTTGTCAAAATTAATAATAAATAAAAAATAATTTTTAAAAGTATTTCCACAATATTCAATTTGCTTTTAGTTTTTCAACCATGATCTAATCTTTACAAAGAAAATTAATTTTCAGACCGGCTAAATGTAGAAAAAGTTATCCCGATTCTGAATTAAACCAAACAAATCAAGGCAAAACTATCAAATGTGGATTTAACATTAATTTTTTGATTAATTCTCTGATCCAAGTTATCTAAAATTCAAATACATTAGTGTAAAAAACGGAAGTACAAGTATACTCAACTTGCCCCATGAGATAGTTACTGTTAGCTATGACATTTAATTTTGGAGACACTTTTCTAGTATACATACACCAAACAGACACATAAACGTTATACATTACAACTGGTTTTTTCCTGGATAAAAAAAATAAAACTTTTTTCTCACTGTACGGCAGCTATCTTTCAATAAAGGTACACACTGACCTAAACCACTCTTTTCAAAAGCTGCAAATGAAATATAATTTATTTCTCTGTCCCTCAGTTTATGCAGTTATATAATAAAGCCAATACAAATTTCTCTGTACACATGACTTCACATTTGTACACTTATTTCCTCAGATAAGTTCCTAAAAGCAAAACTGCTTGTCACATGTTATACACTTTCTTAAAGGCTTTTGATACATATTCACAGACTTTCATCCAAACAGGTTTTACCTAATTCATACTCATAACGAACTCATGAGAATAGTCATTTTACCATACCCAAACTATACTAAATGTGTATTACCAATCTTTAAATTTTCTGACAGCCAAATGTATTTTTCACCTATCATTTTAATTCCTACTTCTTTGTTATCAGTGAGGTTGGCCATATCCCCATTAATATGCTATGTATTTCAATTACTTTGGGGAATTGCCTGATAAAATTATTTGCCCATTATTCTTTTAGAATATTTATTCCTTTCTTATAATTTAAAAGTGTTCTTTAAAATTAAGGATATCTGGTCTCTGATACATTTCAAATATTTCTTCCAAATTATTGTTCAAGGTATGTTTTCTTATGTAATAATAATTTGATTTTAAGTACTCAAATTAGTCGATTATTTCAAGAATAGTTACTGACTAACCCATTCTTTCTCTACTGATCTGAATTCAAAAATCTATTTCTAGTCTCTCTGTTGTGTTCCACTGGTAGGTCTATATATAGATTAGAGTCATATACATCTCTTCTCATACATACACATACATATAACATATTTTTTTCTTTAGTGATTCTTACATCTTTATAAAGTTCACCTGGTAGAATAATCAAATTGATATCTACCACTACAATTCTATTTGCATACAGGTCAGGTATTGCTTATCTGAAATACCTGGTACCAGAAGAAGTGTTTCGGATTTTTTTGAAGTTTGGAATGTTTGTATATACATAATGATACATCTTGGGGATGAGATCCAGCTTTAAATATGAGCCTTTTATGTTTCATATATACCTTATACACATAGCCTGAAGGTAGTTTTACACATTTTAAATACTTCTGTGCATGAAACCAAGTTTTTTGTTTTGGTCTGGTTTTATTTACTGTTTTTTAAAGACAGGGTCTCACTATTTGCCCAGGTTGAAGTGCTGTGGCTATTCTCAGGTATGATCAAAGTGCACTGCAGTCTCAACTCCTGCACTCAAGCGATCCTCCCACCTCAGCCTCCTGAGTAGCTGGTAATACAGGCTCAAGCTACTGTACCTGGTGAAAACAACTTTTGACTGTGACCCATCACATGAGGTCAGGTGTGAAATTTTCCACTTATGGTGTCATGTTGGTACTCAAAAAGTTGCAGAGTTGGGAGCATTTCAGGTTTCAGATTAGAAATGCTCAACTTTACTTTGATGAGAATTGCTTAATAACAGACTAATCTGGAGAGAAATGACCTTTCCAACATTGAATTACTCTCCTACTCAAGAACATATATTCCTCCATTATTTTCAATCCTTTTATTATGTCCTTCAGTAAAAGATAATATTAATTTTAAAACAAATGAAATAAGTTTTTATAGTCAATAGATCTATCACAGGTAATATGATGCTTTTTATAAAAATCCAAGTGAAAAAAGCAGAATATGACCAATATATGTTGTTTTTTAATCCTACCGTAAATTCTATAATAGGCTTTTCCTTACCTTGATGATTCGATCACCTGTCTGTACTCCAGCCCGCATGGCTGCTCCATCTGTATGAGAAATTACTTATTTAAAATGTGATTCATTTGCATTTATTGATCATCTTCCTGACAGAGGAACAGTATAGCAAAGTGGTTAAAAACATGGGCTGTCCTTTGGGAAGCTGAGGAGGGCAGATCACGAGGTCAAGAGATCAAGACCATCCTGGCCAACGTGGTAAAACCCCGTTTCTACTAAAAATACAAAACTTAGCTGGGTGTGGTGGTGCGTGCCTGTAGTCCCAGCTGCTCAGCAGCCTGAGGCAGGAGAATCGCTTGAACCCGGGAGGCGGAGGTTGCAGTGAGCCGAGATTGTGCCACTGCACTCCAGCCTGGCAACAGAGCGAGACTTGATCTCAAAAAAAAAAAAAAAAAAAAAAAAAAAGCGGGGGCTGTAAAGTCAGACTTTATATTCAAATCCTGCTTCTACCACTCACTAGTTGTGTGACCTTGGACTGATTTTATGTTTTTTTTACTCTAAGCTTCAATATCACCTATAAAATGGGGATAAAAAAATTGTCTACCTCAAAATTATAGCACCCAACATAAAGGAAGTATTCAATATATGGTAACAGCAGTAGAAAATACTGTCATTGTTGTTTTGGGAAAAGAAATGGTATTTTTGAGGCCACAGCTATCTCTTTAATCTGTCTTTGCCAAAATACCACTGGTGCCACGAAAAACTGAAATTTCAGAAACTTGTGTGTGGACAATAAAGTATCATGACCAAGGAGTCACATGATTTCTAAAACTATATAAAAACTGATTTTCTAACAAGTACAAAAAAAAAATCAACTAGAGTAAATTCCTTCCTATAACTATGACATACATTTGACATATAGACGAATCTAGCACAATAGTCCACATGACCTGCAATCTATGTAATTATTCTATTCTTGGGAAGTGCCATTATTTAAGCTTTTCTATTCTTACTCTGTTTACTGAGTGATAAATTGTTTTTAGAAATGCCTTGCCTTCTTTGACAGACTGTACGAAGACTGGATTGTCTCCACTGACCGTCAGCCCAAATCCATTGTCATCTTTCTGGATGACTACGCAACGTTGAACAAGACCTGCACAAGAACCACAGCATAAAAAAAGAAGGAAGAGAAAACAGAGAAAGGAAAAGACAATAATTATATATTAGTAATAAACTGTGTTTCATCTGGAGAAACACAAAACAGCACATGTAAATCCACAAGGTAAAATAAGAACACTAACCCCCATCAACAAAGCAAACACAAGAACACCACAGAGTCACACATACTGTTTTCTCACTGGCGAAGTATAATAGAATTGCTCCAATATTAAAAACAGCTATGGAAAACTGCAAAATATTAAGTATTAGACATGAGACAGCTAGAAGGAAAGCCCATTCATATCTATGCTATTTCTCCGTAGTATAAAATCCTCCCCTCCACCGCCCTCCACTGCCCTGTGTTTTTGGTACCCTAATTGGTGTTTAACCCAAGAAAAATCAACTATCTTAGGACATGTGGCTAGGAACATCTCAAGGCAAATTCTGGAGAAATCCAGTCTTACTCTCAAGAAAATATACTCAGGAAAACAGTAAAAAGAAAGGAGGTACTTACAGAGTACCTGAAGCTATTCCCCGAAGAAGGGAAGAGAAAGGAAGAGTTCAGGGGGAAGAAAAACCCTGGCTTATAGAAAACATAAACAGAAAGGAGAAAAAAGTAGGAAAGATAAAGAATCTATGAGCTCAACCAGTTCCTTCATCTCTTTCATATACTTACCTGATTCCTAAAGGAGAATCTGTATTTCTTCTAAACAGCAAATGAAAACTGTCATTTGAGAGACAAGGTGAGAGAAAGAGGGCCCCAGCCAGAGGAACAGAAATGTCCTGCCAGAGTAGAACCCTGATTAGTACCCAGGGCTGTTTTATCATAGACCAGATCTGAAGATCTTGAACTCTATGTTAGCCAGAGACAACATACATTTTCAGTTTTGCAGGATCTAAGCATTTCACCGAAGTCAATATATAAAACAGGTAAAGCAACACAAAGATAATGATGATTAGAAAATAAAAACTTTTTCTAAAGATTTTTATACAAAGAGCTACAATCTTTTAAATAAGTCTGATTTACCAACCAAACAATATGTTAAATATATGTTAATAAAAAATATATATAGACTGTGTGTACAATGGCTCACAGAAAACATATACACATAATAAATTATATATATATACATACACACAGTGTATATACATATCAATTCTTGCTGATAATGACACATCATGAGTACATGAGCCTACTGTAGCTTAACATAAACCTTTACTCTTGAACTCATGCCCTACACAAAAATTAAAGCAGATCATGGGCCTAAACACAAGCTAAAATTTTTCATAAGGTAACACAGAAGGAAATCGTCAAGACCTTAGGGTATTAAAAAAACAAAAAAGGAAGAAAGAAAGAAAAAGAAAACAGATAAAATACATGTAACAAAATAGTTTATAACATTAAAAAAAGACCTGAGGGTGGGTTTATAAACCATAAAAGAAAAAAAACCTAGGAAACTGGACAAAATTTAAAACATTTGCTATTCTAAAGACACTGATAAGAAAATGAAAAGGCAAGCCACAGAGAAAATATTCACAATATAGACACCTGATAAAGCATTTGTATCCAGATTATATGCAACTCTCCAACCAATAATGGAAGACAAATGTTAAAGGGGGCAAAATACTTAAATAAACACATCACAAAGATACACCAATGGCCAATAAGCACACGTAAAGGTGCTTAACAGCTGCAGTCATCAAGAAAATACAAATTAAAACCACAATGAGATACCACTATATACCAACTAGTCTGGCTAATCAAAAGAAGTGGTAGCAAAGAGGTGGAGCAACTAGAACTCTTACAACATTATAACATTGCTGGTGGGAATGTGCTAACATTCTGGAAAACTGTTTGGAAATTTCTTATAAAAGTAAGCATATATTTACATACGATCCATGAATTTTACTCTCAAGAGAAAAAACAATTTGTGTCCACAGAAAGACATACATGAATGTTCACAGCAGTTTTATTCATATGAGCCCAAAACTAGAAACTCAAATGTCCATCAACAGATGAATGGATAAACAAACTGTGATATGTCCATACAGTGTATTAGGAAGGAAAAAAAGAACTACTCATACATACAACAAACACAGATGAATCATAAAAACATCACGGTAAGCAAAAGAAGCCAGTACATAAGAAAGTAAACACTACATGACTCCAACATAGAAAAGGAAAAACTAAACTAAAACAACAAAAAGCAGAATAGCAACAGCCTAGGGGAGAAGTAGGGAAGAGGAGTGGGAATGACTGCAAAAAGAAATGAAGGAACTTTCTGCAGTGATGGACATGTTCTGTTTCTTAATTAAGATAATGTTTACATGAGTATGCATATTCATTTGTCAAAATCTTCTAACCAAACACTTACAATTAGTGCATCTTATTTTACGTAAATTTTACCTCAATAAAGTTGATTTTCAACATTTAAAAATGTGTTACCCCTAAATTCTAGAGACTTCTAAACACTAAATAATTCACATATTCACCACTCTCACAAAACAATAAATTGTAATGAGGGCAGAAGATAACAGAATTCAACCTTTTTTATCTGTTCAGTGTTACTTCCTTCAAGTAATTAGGACAACTATAAAACAGGATATGAATACATAAATCAAGTAAAAAAAAACGCATTCTTTATAAATTTCTGGTGTGTAATGAATAGAATTAGAGATTCAGGCCAGGCGCGGTGGCTCATGCCTGTAATCTCAGCACTTTGGGAGGCTGAGACAGGTGGATCACCTGAATGAAGTCAGGAGTGAGACCAGCCTGACCAACATGCTAAAACAAAATCAGCATGGTGTGGTGGTGCATGCTGTAATCCCAGCTACTCGAGAGGCTGAGGCAGGAAAACTGCTTGAACCCAGGAGGTGGAGGTTGCAGTGAGCTGAGATAGCACCACTGCACTCCAGCCTAGCCTGGGCGACAGAGTGAGACTCCATCTCAAAAAAAAAAAAAAAAAAAAAATACTAGACTAACCAGCATTTTACAGGAATCTTTTAAAATCCATGCTTACTTTTGGAAACAAATATTTCACAACCTCCCTTACAGTTATTTGAAATTTCAAAATAAATTAGACATTGTGACTTTAAAAATCAAGGCAATTATAACACTGAATACATTTTTTCATACAATATTTGTGCTTCTCTGTTCTTCCACCCCACCTCACAAAAGCTGAAAATTAATGAAGTAAAAGTTTCTAATATGGGTGATTGCAGTGCTAAGCAAACTGGGCTTCTTAAATAGACCTTTTCTCAGGTGCCTGCAGAGAACAGGGCGCCTATAAAAGATGAGGGAAAAGGGTATTTGAAGTTAAGGAGTTTGCTATGTCTGTACCTTTCACTTGAATAAAAAATATATAAAGTAGTTAGCTTAATGCCTAACGAATATTAAGGGTTCACACATGTTAAATATTATTTTATTATGATTGGGGGGCGGTTGACCTTGGATTTTCTCCTCTATCCATGCTACTAGTACAATTATAAGTACTTTTATGTTAATAAACTCCTATCAATTAATGCAAATGATCCTTAAGAGGATCAATTCTGGCTGGGCGTGTATGGGAGGCTGAGGTGGGCGGATCACAAGGTCAAGAGATCGAGACCACCATGGCCAACATGGTGAAACCCTGTCTCTACTAAAAATACAAAAACTAGCTGTGCGTGGTGGTGTGCGCCTGTAGTTCCAGGCTACTCAGGAGGCTGAGGCAGAAGAATCGCTTGAACCCAGGAGGCAGAGGATGCAGTGAGCCGAGATCACTGACAACAGTGAGAATTTTTTTGAGACTCCATCTCAAAAAAAAAAAAAGAGGATCAATTATGATTTATGTCTAAGTTTTGTTTTTTAGTAAACAAGGAAAGTAGTTTTGGATGGGTAAGGAAGGGAGAAGGGAAATTTAAAGGGGCAGAGCTTCTTGTTGTAGTTAGCTTTAGAAGATGAGAGACAGCCGGATGTCCTTAAGAAAGGAATCAGTCTTCTTATAAGCTTTTCCTAAATATGTAGACTGAAGTTAGGCGTCCCTCTTATAGACTCCCACTGCACCCTCTGTATACTCCTATTGTATCACCCTTACTCACACTGATTTGTATTTGTTTTTATTCTTTCATTAGATTTTATGCTCCAAAGGTGTGGGGGCTGTATCTTGATCACAACCTTATCTCAGAACCTTGCATATATTCTGGGACAGAAGGAAACTTAGAAAAATTGCTTATGAATTAATGAAATTCAGACAAGTAGACGAGTCTAGAGATGAAAGGAAACTCAGAAAGGGAGGTCATCAGAGAGAAAAAAACAGCACCATGCACAGTCAATTTCATACATATGCCTAGAGTCCTAACAGATTAATAAGAATCAAGAAAATCTATTAGTATTACTTCAGAATACAGCAAACCTGTTTTCTCCAATTCATAACAGTCTCAGTCTGATAACCTTCCCTCTTAATTACAGCTAAAGGAGAAGATGAGGGACAAAGAATAAAGAGGAAAAGGAAAAAGAACCATGCACACATCCCATTCAATTTTTTCTTCTCCCCAAATCCACTATATTAGCCACATTTATTATTTTATATTTACCTGCTAACGTGAGACTGATGTACTTCAACATGTACTTTAAATCAGTAGACCAATATAAAAAGAAAACATACCTTACACATACAGTCAATTCAAAATCTATAAAATACAAATTAACAATACTGTTCTGTCCCGTCTATCTGTGGTATCTGCATAAATTTAGATTTGTGGTAACAATTAACTGAAAACGAAGCCATCCTACCACTCAAAATTCAGAAATCCAGTCCTTCAAACGCTCAAATCTATTATGTTCCCTCTCATTCAAAATCAAATGAAATGTTTTCCCTTTTTCTTCAGAGAAATAATCTGTTTCTGACCAGAAGCTGTTTTAACCCACCACAGAGGGATAAATTCCACCCTCTGTAAAACTAAAATCACCACTACTGGCTAAATTATCATATCTTTGAAATATCCTTTTTGACA